GTAATTGAACTTATGGCATGCGTTGTTCGCATCGCACAAGCTAGCTGTCAGAGCATAGAACGTCATCAGCAATGATAATAAACTGAACTCAGATATTGGCTTTTCAACGCAAAGGGGTTGGAAATACTCGCATGAATCAGATTAAATAAAAACTCGTATCGCGGGTCGCCAACCAATCGAAATTGACACTTCTTCGCGGGCCACATTTGGCCTGCGGGTCGCAGGTTGCACAACCTTGCTATAAATAATCACAAACATGAAATCGTTCATGTGAATACGAGAGAGTAATCAATTATGCTGTAGTAAATTCCACATAAAACTTTTGGCATAAATATTCTTGATTCTAAAATTTTTATAAATTTTTCATGGAATATAGTGGCGGTTAAAACGCTTATGATAGTAACCTACCGTCTGTGTTTGCTCAGGAGTAGTGGGTTGATTTTCAACATCGTTGAATGAATCATTGAATTGAGGATTTGGAGCGGGATTCGTGAAATCCTCAGATGAATTATCAACCTCATTCACCGCTTCTTTAGAAAGTTTTTCTCCATTCACAACACTTGAACTATACGATTTACATTCAACCTTTGGTTTCTTTCCCATAATGAAAATTAAAAATCGTTTTCAATCTGATAAATATCCAAAAAACAGAAAATGTATAGAGCATAGGCTCTCAAATTGCTACATACGTCAGAGGAACCTAGTGGCTCTCATGGTAACGCAAACATGTTGACCAACAAACTAAAATCATATCACCCCTCCCCCCCCAATTATTTTCTTGATATTACTATCGCGTGAGGTCTACCACAAGATAATATGCCCCAGAAGTATGTGTACCAATATGGGGTAACTAATATTTTGTTCGCCTACTTTACATCTGTTTGTGTAAAGGAACTGAAACCTATGGGTAGGGGATATATTCACTCGGCTAACACAGACTGTCCTTGAACTCGTAATAGAGCTAAAGTAAGGTAAATCATAATGAAATTATTGTCTAACCCTAACATGGTACACGAACTACGGGAGTACCCCAAATAGTTTTATAGCGTGAACTCTAACGCTGCATTTCCATCCGTAATGGATATCACAAATTTTCAACCCTAACCATAGCCTCAAAAACTACATCTGTGTGCAAAATATGGCGTTAGTACCCGCGCTATAATGGACCAATTTTCTTATTTTTCTCTATTTGTAAATCACGCTATTTAATGTAACTGTTAAATGTTTCGAATTAAACAAAATTATATTCCGCAATTTCATTACTTTAACAGAATTTGTCAACGATTTCTTACGGAAAATATATTTAATGTTACATTTATCAACGCTTCAATGCACAAATATTTTTAAAGTTTTGTTATAGTTAGCCCATTATTTCTAAACATATGGGTGATGACACGTTGCCTGTTCTAGTTTCATTTTTGAAAGTGACCAGGAGGGGTTAGAAGTTTTGAATTTTCCTGACAAACACCAATTGCTAAATATAACTTATTGGTTGAGCGGTTATGCCGATGAGCTGCCTCGGCTTTCGAAGAATTTATGCGAATTTGGGCAAATAAGTAATGTAATTACACTGACTAGGCACAAATTTTGATTAATTTTTAAACATTGTAAATTTGCCATACCCACGATAAGTTAGGACGAAAGTAGTTCCAGATTGCCACTCACGAAAAATTTCCTAACCTCTACTTTCGAAGAATTTATTTGAATTCGAGCTAATATTTATGCTGACTGAGCAGAAATTTTGATTACTTCCTGAACATTGTAAATTTGTCGAGTTGTCATACTCACAGTAAGTCTGAATGAAAGTAGTTCCAGGTTGTTATGAGAAATTTCACAGAATGCACGATTCAAATGTGATAAACACAGCTATTCTGACGGTCACAAAATTCAACCGAAATATTTTTTGTATTCTATTCAGTGATAACGAATAATTTTACTTAGTTGTTTCAACTTGGAAGTATTCGATAGTTTGCTATTTATCTAAACCCTCATATTTTAATAAATCACGAAGATTTGCTCTCTCATTCCTTGTCCTATTCATTAGGATGATGCGATTAACAAAAATGAATACTCTTGTTCAGCCAGCGTTCTTCTTTCGTAACTTCACAATTCTGATATTATTTCCAGCAGTTTGCGGAATATCATTTTTCCCAAAGTGACAAAATCTGCCATTGCGTTGGGTGACTAATTTACTACTAATTTATACACTGAAGTTAACTAACACTAAACTTCAAGTCCCTGTCGCATTATTGAAAATAAGAAATCTCGTCCACGCAGTGAGGGCCAGCCTCGGGTTATTGCAACCTATGCAGCCCAGTGGGACCCGCATTTCCATTTATTCCGCGCTGAAGTCATTCCATTTATTCCGCGCTGAAGTCAATAAATTGAATTTAATAATTTAAATCATGCTCATATACAGTGTTTCCCCATAAAAGAGACCTGAATCTCAAAAATTATTGTATTATAAGCCCTCGCTTCAAAATAAGACCTAATCTAGTCGAAATCGCAAATTTATTTTTTGACTCAGTCGATAGCGAGTAATTTCTACTACACGTATTAAATGAATAATAATTTATTTTAAGCAGTTATTTTAAATAAAAACGTGTTATTGATGTCAAGTAAATTGATATCGTTAATTCTCTACTTTGTAATTTGGTTTTTGATAAATGAAAATAAAGGACATCCCTGAAAAATAAGCCCTAGTGTTATTTTTCAAATGAAAATTGTGATTTTCGTGGAAACACGGTAGGTCAGTGTGTTTATTTTGTATAGGCAAAATTGTGAATAGAAATTACTTTAATTGTAATTTTGGACTTTCTTAAAATTATAAACAGCAAATACGAATCCCTTTTGTATCAAAAAACATCATTATAAGTTATGATTCATATATCTACATGGAGTGGGCCGGCCGATCCTAAGTTTAATGTTCCCCGCGTGTTCCTTTTCGCTAAGATTCACGTTTATGGAAAAGCCACGAAAGTCCATTTCTCAGCAAATATACACAGCAAGAAGCAGTAGTTGAAAATAAAATGAACATAAAATGTATCAACAAAAACAGAATAGCAGGCTAATTTAAGGATTCTAGGCTAGGATTATTATTATTATTATTATTATTAAAAGTTATGGCGCTTTTAATTACCAGGATTATGTGCGCCAGACTGAAAATAATTTTCTGACAAAAAACAGGTCCACAAAAGCCGTACACCATAGTGTAAGTAACACGCTACTTCAAAATAAATTTCAAAATTCCCTACGATACGGAATTAGTGTAAAATATAAGCCACGCGGAAAATTATATACGTATATAAGCTATGTCTATATTAACCTGCGGGTTGAATAAACAAACCTAATTACATAAGGAATAACTTTTGGATCAGACAGTAGGTATTTAATTCGAAATGGAATATTTAAACTACGTGCATGATTTATTAAAATATTTCTTTCATTAATATACTTTGGACAAAATAGTAAAAAATGGGCTACAGTTTCTTGTACAGAGCAAGTATCGCATTCGCCATGTGGGTGACAGCCTATTTTTAAAAGATGGTGGGAGAGCCTGCAGTGTCCAGTCTGAAGTCTGAATATAATTGATTGGGGATATCGCGTTAGAGAAAGGCTAGGATTCGTTATTCCCTTAGCCATAAGGCGAGTTGACGGTGTGCCGAACACTCTAGAAACTTTAATTATTATCGGGGTAATCAACGCCGCGTCGATGACGATGCGCGTTGTGTCAGCCAGCTTGTCGTGCTTGTGCTGTATGGTTGTGATGAAGATGCGGCGTTTGTTATTGTTTATACAGTCTCTCTAAAGCAATGGTATATATGTAATAAGCTAGTATTTAGAGATGGGTCGAAAAGTAGAACGTTTTTCTATGTTAATATGTCGTACAGAATTCCTTTCAGATATTACTTATGCTGAATAAAAGTTATTTGCGATGTTTAGCGGGCAATATTGGAATGAATTTAGCTTTTGAAATTTAAAATAGTTATTGTTGGAAAGGATCTAAGTGAGGATAAAAATATAATCTCGCACCGTTTCGTATTTTGTAAGTTCGATCGTATTTTTCTGAGGTAACAGCCTGTTTGCATACGCTGCTTGATACAAGTGGGATTTGCGTTTTGTATGTTTTAATCGTCGCTTTTAGGAGATAATACGATTGAGCACCCAATAATCTGGGAAGCACTCCACTGTACGGATAAACCGAATTTCAAATCTACATTCTGTATGTTATGTAATTTATGTTGAATCAAAGCTTTTGGACGAAAAAGGCTGATGGTTTTGGTTGGCCCTAAATAGATGTTTCCCGAGCATCTACTCCCTTGCTTAAAACGATTACAGAAGCCAATCATAAATAACTTAATGAAGACGTAACAGCCGTCCAACTTTTGCACTCGGGACCGTTTTTTTTTTACCACGGTTGCCAGCATTGACTGTTCTTTATAGTTTCGACTAGCATCTGTCACTATTTTAGTCATGTCTCAATAATAAAAAATTTGTTTTTAAAAATTTAAATGGATATGACAAAAATAAACTGCCGTCACGTCACCACTTTTCAAATGCCGAGATGTTGGGATGGTTTGAAACAAAATGGTCTTATTGCAAATTTAGGTTGTGAGCGCCAAGTACGAAAACACCCAAAATATTCTTGTGCTGATAGACAAACTTTTCTGGGATCAAAGGTCTGAAAAACCTTCATTGCGTGTGAATGATACACGTCATCAAGGTGTCATTTCGTAATATCGAACGCGCCCCTGCTCTCGGCTTTTGTCAGCCCTGGGTAATTAACGCGCGCATGGACGGGCGTTCCTGATTGGACCGTTTTTATCGGATTGCGCAAGCCATCGATATTGCGGGCGACGCCCAGTGCAAGTATTGCGACTGTAACAGCTATTCCACGGTAACTTATGCATTGAGTGGTGTACACAAAGCAACTGATAGTAATTGATCAACTATGTTGGTCTAGTCTAGTGCATTCATTTAACATCTCATTTTCTTGTTCCAGCTTAATATACATGGCATAGGCCTATATAGCATATTGTAAACTCATCGGTATCAGAAGAGGTTGAATATTGGGAAGAAAAAGCAATCGACTCATTCATTCTACACAAACGTGCCAAACAATTTGCAGGTTTTATCAATTTTATATCTAGATTATGATTTTCCATTCAACCGTTGCACACCATGCTAAGCGTAAAAAATTCATACCATCTCACTGCGTATTCCTCACCCCCGGGATAAATATGTGCATCCCATCCTATTGTTACTCCTCCTGAAACTCTTTTTCGAATTCCATGAGCACTGTTGATTTTGACCTATAGTCACTGGCGTATCTAGGATATGACGTCCATGGCTCGTGCCATGAGAGCCGTCTGAATAGAGGCGCAAAAAGAAGAAATGTTTGGCCGTAAAATGTTTCATCAAATAATTTCAAGTTGAAAATATTTGAAACTAGTGTTTTTACTTAAATAGTAACATACACGTATCTCAATTCAATAACAGTCGTTAAAAATTGTTAGTGAACGATGAAGGGGCGAATTTGAAAAATTTGCCATGGGAGCCATTTTACGTAGGTCGCTGCCTGTATCATTGCTGAATTTACGTGTTTGTATGTGGTGGTTCAAGCGGATGCATGTCGGTGATAACTCGCCATCAGGTTAATGCATTTGGCACTACATAGTTGAAACACCAGTCGACAAGGCCCCCCCTCCGGAATCCAGATCGTTTGTACAAAGCCCCCGCCACTGATGCGAAATTGTTAGATTTGAGAAAACAGCACCGCTACTTCAAAATGAAAAATGAGTAATTATCTAGTTGGGGTCAGAGGGTTCGGGTTAGCAATGGTTTGGAAATTTGAATATCCAGCGAAATCTTCGTTCCTCGCGCTAACCCTAACTGGATAATTGTATACTTTTTTATTTTTAACAACGGCGGAGGTGTTTCTTTAAGTTTTTTTTTATAAAATACCCAAGGAATCTTATATTTATTGAAAATATTGCAAAATACATTTAATTAATTTTCAAATGTATATTTTCAATTCGAAATTAGCCTTAAATCAAAACTTCTATTTGTGTTCCTTCGCGCACTTCAAGCATAAAAAAAGTTAATGTTTTTTGGTGAATAATAATAACGGGGTCTTCAAATGTTTCACAGATACCGAAAAAGAATCAAAACTCAAGACGACGAATCTCAAAGCAAAAATCTTGCAAATTTCTTCAGAGATCGCCAACTTCAACTTTTTAAAGGTAAGGTGGTTCATACAGATGCAGGTCGATGATAGCTTTCAACCAGGTTCATGCAATTATAAATTTGGTTTGAAAGGCCAACATTGGAGGCTGTAGTTTGCATTGTGATCTAGGTCGAATTATTGGTTTCATTCTCTTACGAATAAATTAAAATACAAATTACAAATATTTATTAGCAAAATTGCTAAATACATAAATTTTATTATGCAGAGTTATTTTGAATATGTGAACTTGCGTCCAAATCCTAAAGAAGTTTGATTTGGCATCTTCATCGGATAATATTATAGTTATTAATTATGACACTAAGTTCTTAAATATTTAACAGATACTGAAGAAAGTATATATTACGACCAGTCTCAAACCTGATTTGAAATTCTTGTCATGCTCGTTTGTTATCATGGGCTGACATGTTGTTGAGAAGATCGTCAAATACGTCATCCACTTTGAAAAGGTAATTGTTGGAAATATAAGTCCTTTTATTCAATTGTTTCTCATGCTGTTATTGTTTTGGTCAAAACGATCCAACAGCCGAGATAAATTAATATTTCGCATGCTCATCAAATAAATCAAAATTGATCGATTTCTTATTTCCAGACAAAACTCCCTAATATTCGAATATCTGAGGAGACCGGCGACGATAACCGACTAAGGTGAAATACAGAATTTACTATCCATAGCAATCTGTGTCTTAAAAATTATTAATTTATTGCGGAAATGCTTCTACAATATTAGGAAGTAATATCTTTAATTGGCGCTTTCTTGCTATTGTTCAGAACGAGGTTTTAAAAAACACCAACAGAATATTAGATACCCGAGTCACGAAAGTTTATAAGGGCATTGGCCTTGTTCATTCCCATTTGAGCCTTACTAGATATTTTTTTTAATCGCTGCTCATGCGGTTATTATTTGATCAAAAAAGTTGAGTATGTTACCAATGTATAATGTACCAATAGTTGAAATAATTATACTAATTGTTCTGTTATAATTTACAGGCAAAGAAAAGTCGTTAATATTCAGGTTTCAAGAAGACCACGGCGACATCAAGCGGCTAAGGTTAGATAAATACATTGCTCAGTCTTTCATTCATAGTGGATAAGTTTCCAGAATCTTAGAACATGATTTTCGAGATATAATTTTACGTCATTGCTGGAAACTAGACTTTTAAAACAGCCCCCTAATGCTAGATAAAGACTCACTGGAATTCGGAATGCCCGTTTTGATCGATGGGCCCATTTCCTACTCAAATTGCTTTTATATATTCGAATATAATACTCAATGTTTTCATTTTTTTCAGGTCAACCGACGAAAAGACGGTTAGACAGTTTAGGCTAAGTTCAGTTTATGTTAGTTAGTAGTACGACCAGTTCGTGCATGTTTGAGCCAGGGCCGAAGATGTTAGATTTGACTCTTCGCTAGAGGATTCTTTATTTGTGCGGTATTATGAATACATTCGTCTGTCAATTTATTAGCTAGTCAGCAAGGAATTACTAGATTAGGGATCGACAGACGAATTTGGAGCTAGGTGTTTAAATGGCAGTTAGTAAGACTGTCTGGTAGGGAAGCAACCCAGTCCGGCGGGTAATATATTTTAAAAAACAATTTTTTTCCGTAATGATAATCTGCTCTTCATGGGCGTGCACATAGTGCATAGATTGATAAGTATAAATTGATATTGGCAATTGGCCATAAATAATAATTGAGATAGTGCAAACTAACCATGTTTTTCTTTTAATAATGCCGAAACCTTTCTATGATCAATTGATTATGTAACTTGTGTTTTGAACTGCGAATTTGCAGCAGAACTGGTTCTTCAAATTTGACCGACCAAACCTAAAGAAGGGTTTCGGCTACGCTGAGCAATTTATTGTGAGCAATTTATTATGTACATTATCCCCTTTAGCTTTGTACCACCCAATCAATTTATACCCACAATGCTGCGTCAAAGAAACCTTTGGGAATCGACTCATTTCTAAGAAATTTTGCTTTCGATGAGCAATACTTAACTTATATAAGTCGTTTCAGCGTTATTAATGTCCTCCAATGTAAACCTAACTGCGGGTGCAAGCTCATAAGCGCCAGAGCTGCCGCTTGGGCACTTAGTGCCATAACGGCCGTCTCACAAATTGTGCAAACAAACCTCAACGAAACTAACACCCAACACTCTGAGGTGTTCTTGGGTTATACAAATGGGTTTTTTCACTTCTTGCCATAATATTCCAACTGGCAAGTTTGAACATATTAAACTGTTTGTTTTTTCAGGTGCTGGTAGAATTGGATGATCTGTACGGAGAACCGGGAGATAACCCCATTACCGTACGCAAATTGGTTTCACAATAGTACATGGTTTTCCGATTGACAACTTCTCAAGCCGCAAAGTGACAGATTTGAGCGAAGTCTGTGCAACGAGACATGCGATGGTATGGCCAAATTTTATGTAAATAAACGGTAACACTCTGTATCATCCCATTTCATGTTTGTTGACGCCACACATAACTGTTCACTTTCCGGCTTACGACTTTTGGCAGGAACTGCTACATGGAGAATATCACCGACGATTTTGACATCGGGTTTCATCTCTTCTCCATCTAGCAAAGTTATATCGTCCAAGCAAACCTCTTCGTATTAACCACGAACTGTTTTCGGAACGTGCGCTAGCCCTTTATGATTCAATTCAGTTAATATGGCAGACATTCTCTTATTTAATTTATACCCTGTTATATAAAACAAAACAATTTATTTTCATAGAATTTTAATGTTATTCTAACATGTGTGATGTTTAGCTTACATACTTTGGTTGTTTGATAGATATGACAATAGACCAAAAAGGTAATAAAAAACATTTGACCATTTTTGTTAACATATAATGAAATTTAAAGTTCGCCTAAAAAGCAATTCAATACATTATAGCGGTCATCCTATATCTTTTAAACGCTATCTGCAGCGAAAAAAACGGGAATTAATAATATCCGACTGCGACTATATTTCAAAAAAACAAATATCAATTTAAAAGCGACATATCAACAACAGCAAAAACAGACGCGGACATCGATAAATCTTATCAGGCTTTCCAGACATAAGTGTCGTGTTAATTTATAATGCTTAAATAAAGCAAGCACGCAAATTATACAAGTTAACTTAATATTCTATTAGAGTACATCCAGCGAGAGACATGTTTTCGCGACCAGCTTTACTATCCGAATGTCCTTCAAGAATGTCCGCAGCGCAACGTGCTTGACAATGACGTCATAGCTCTTGATCACAACATTCAGATTGCCAATAAAACCTCTCAAGAGGCCCGCAATAGGCAAAAATCACTAGACCATGACTGGGGGCTAGCAGAAAAAATATTCATCTAAAAATCATGCAACTAACTTTTCCGACCGTGCGAATGCCTTCAGATTCCCAATAACACCTCTCAGAGGCCCGCAATAGGCAAAAAGCACTAGACCATGACTAAGGGCTGGCAGAAAAAAAAATTCATCTAAAAATCATGCAACTAACTTTTCCGACCGTGCGAATGCATTCAGATTCCCAATAAGACCCCTCAGAGGCCCGCAATAAGCCAAAATCACTAGACCATGACTGGGGGTTATCAGATAAAAAAAAAATTTTCAACTATTTTTTTCGACCGTGCCCATGCCTCCAGATTCCCAATAAGACCTCTCGGAGGCCCGCAATAGGCAAAAATCATTACTGAAGATAATTTGGAAGATTTAATATTTTATTTCAAATCGTACACAATACCAAATAAAACAGTTGAAATGAAACATTTATATGAAAATGTATAAGATGTTGATGGCTGTTGATGGAATTTATTCTTCTTCCGCTTCTTACGGCACACTCTCTGTGGACACATTCTCTGTGGCGACAAGTTCATGGTATTCCGATTCCGGGAAATTTTGTCCAATGTATGTTGATGGTTCATCGGTTCTTTTTTTTTTTTTTATGGGGGATTCACATTCTTCCGGCACGGTCTCTGTGGTTACATGTGTGGCGACAGATTCGTGTCCGAATTCCAGTAATTTTGATCCCATTATTACCAAATCGCTTATATGCAGTTTGAATTTGCATGTGCCCGTGTCGGAAAAACGTTTCTCGGGCCGAAACCAACCTAATATCCGGTAGCCTTGTGTTGACGTAGTGACATTTTTAAGAATCCCAACATTTTTCGGTAATCGATTGTTTTCGCAGGCGATACATTCAGCAACTGCCGTTTGAAAACGGCCAACGTCAGTTTCCTGCTGCTGTAGGGCTCCCATTTAACTTGCATGCCGGGTATATGTATTTTGATTTGAGCCACCAGCATTCTACTCTCGACATAACTGGCTGGACACTTGGACAGTCAATTCCATATCGGCCATCGCAATAATTATGTATACATCTTTCGATGAAATTTGAACTTGTCACTTTTATGTTTTCAGCATTAAATCTGAATGCAGTCATGTCTGTTGAGGATAATTGCCCAACAGCTATATCGGATATAATCGGGACTGGAGGGGCGCGAGCGGGCAAAATTGGATGATTAGTGGTTATCACCGGTATTCCTCTCCACTCATTCTCGCAGGTCGGATCCACTACAACAATATGCTGTCCTATCTGCTACATGTTCTCCGTCCATGTTAATACCAACAATGAGGACAGCCATTTTCAGGCCGAACCTCAAATGCAACATTCGGTAATAATTTACCGATATATTACCAGTTTTTTTGCCCCTTGGCTGTACCATAGCCGTTGACAATGTTTTGCTTGGCTTCTTTGCATGGAGCAACTCCCCTATTATTTTGAACCCTTCCTCCATGGGCTCATCACATTTCTCTATATCTGCTATATGCTTTTCTTTTTACTCGGTAATCGGTATCAATGATACGCTGTAGATATGCAAAATTATGCATATCTAATTCCCTAATTAGTATAGACATACCGGTAGTTGAGATCTATAAGTACAAATAAACATTTTCATTAACGTACTACGAGAGATGCATTAGGGGATGCTAAAGCTAAAATCATTCAAAACATTGATCGATACCAATGCTTACCTACCCATTGTAATTCGCGGACCAGTGACATTAAATATAATGACGTCACGAACTGACGTTTTATTATAAAAAGCAATGAATACCACCAAATTATACAATACAGCGGTCACCCTTCATCTTTTAAACGCTATCTGCAGCGATAAAATCGGGAATTAATAATATCCGAATGCTACTGTATTAGAAAATAACATATATCAATTTAAAAGCGACGTAACATATATCAACAATAGCAAAAAGAGACGCGGTCATCGATAAATCTTAACCAGACTGTCCAGACGTAAGCGTCGTGTTAATTTATAATGCTTAAATAAAGCAAGCACGAAAATTATACAAGTTAACTAAATATCCTATTAGAGTACACCCAGCGAGAGACATGTTTTCGCGACCAGCTTCACTATCCGAATGTCCTTCAAGAATGTCCGCAGCGCAACGTGCTTGACAATGATGTCATAGCTCTTGATCACCATATAATGACAATTCACAAACACAACATTTCCCTCAAAAACATAGTTATTCAAATAAGTTGGTTGTCGTCTACTGCGCCGAGGTCTTGTATTAACAGGAGAGAAAAAATCCTGCAAAAAAAACATTAATTAACTAATTTGTCACATCGTCTCCTTTACTTCGCTTTCGAGGCGCGCCACTTTCGAACTCACTGGAGTGTCTGGGAGTGGAATTCCCCTTTTAACGGTGTCTAAACTTTCAATTAATTATCCTCTTCGAGAATTGAGCAACACATCGCCTAAATACCCCTTCAAAGGTCCCCGAATTATTAAAAAAAAAAACAAAGCCCAAGTGGGCGGGGATTCACACGCTTTTTCTCGCCACTGTGGACGACTCATCTCGGTCTTCGCTTAGCATAGCCTATAGTCAGCCAAAAGTAAATAAACATACCATTCGTAGTTTTTATTAGTTATTTCTTTGATTTTTCCCTTCTACGTGTGAAATACACTCTTTTGCAACTATAAAATAAATAAAGAAGGTAATATATACAATAATTTGATTCCGATGTCGACTGAACTGTGAAAATGGTCAGTGTCGCTTCAGAATATTGATTACGAGAATCTTGGCCGACTATCAATACCGTTCTGACTCAGAAACACTGACGTATGGCGCATCATACTATTAATGCCGTCTTTACTTGAAACTATGATCAGTGGATTAAGGCATTAACAGTGATTTCTCATCTTGCGTACATGCTTACTTTGTGAAGATTGTTGTAATACAAGACACGAGCTATTATTAGTTAATGTGCTATATGTAAATGGACTCTTGGTTGGTTTTGTAGAACTCTGTATTGTCAATATTATGTGAAATTTAATGTTACGTATTTTGAATCTGTACGATATTTGATTTTTAAGCAGAGTGCAAATACCTATGTTTTTGCTTTATGGTTAACGCTTTACCATTTTTGTGGTTCCGCTGTTGTTCAAAATTGCTGTAGGGTTGGGGTGGGCTTTGTACACGGAGCTGGATCGTAATATCCAGCTCTGTGTATGGTTTACAGCAATTTTTCTGCCTATTGGTTAACCTTTGAAATAATTACATTAGCGATCGTGTATATTTTTGTGCCAACGTTTTGCATTCTTTTAATATTATGGGAAATTAATTTTATATTTCTTTAATCTATAATGCGAAAACGATAATTTAGCTTTATGTTTTTCATTGTACAATTTTAAGTTTTCGTAATTTTCAAAATTGCTGTCGGGTGGTGGTGGGCTTTCTACCCGAAGCTAGATTGTAATATTCAGCTCTGTGTATGATTTACAGCAATTTTATTTGTCTATCGATCCACGTTTACCTTCGAAATAGTTAAAAGCAACGACTATGTGGGTTTAATCCGATAAATTATTTCAATTTATATTTTTGATAATCTTTGCTTTAGCGATCGTTCATATTTCGTGCTGTTTATTGATTGGTATGGTATTATCTAGATTGCGTACTTCCTTAATCTTTAATCATAGCGTGGCAGTCATTTCTTTAATTATCCAAGTTATGAATTTTTCGCTATGAGTAATAAAACTACGTTGTGTTGGAATGATACAATTATTCTTTTGTTTCATCGCATTGGATGTAGGGATGAGTTGGGCTTTTGTTTTATACACACAGCTTGAAACAGTAGTATACGGTGTAAATACATGAAAAGTTGGCGACTTATATTCATTCAGATAGTTTTCTTGCGTAATGGTCCTTTCAATGGTTATCTGTAAACATTTCATTAATGAGTTATGTACATTTGATGCATATTATCATTTGAAAAAAGACTGATTTGTTTTATTTTGACTGCTAAGGTTTGTGGGTCTGATATATATCAAAGAATAGACAATAATGGTCGTGGTGCACCAAAGGCCATCAGTATTGTGCATTGAAACTATAAAAACCTAATTTGAGAATCATCCAGTAGGCCGAAAATTGTAATATCAAAACGAGGAGTTTTATGTCTCCTATTCCTGGTGACCTCAGGCGAATTTGCGTCACGTTTGCAAATCAAGTTGCAGTATATCTAACCGTTAGTGGGCAATGGTGATCTGTTAAATGGCAAACTGGTTCTTGGCACAAGGTGCGATCATCCAGAAACGGAGGTGTGCAACAGTTGGCCCGGGGCCACAACCCGGCTTTAGTGTGGCCCTTGTCAACACTAGGGATAGATTTTTATCAAGCATAAAATCCGAATCCAACAGTCCATGTTCAAAAGGTCGCTCACGTAGGCAAAAAGTATACCGGTAAGTTTTTTGTTCTTGTCGCTGCATTAAATCGTTCTCCGTTTTGCCCGGTGTCTTTTTTACTGGAAGGCTATACTAAAGCTGAATTCACTTTATCGCCTTTTCCGCATGAAAAACAGAATTTTTTGTGTGACCCGGCTAGATGTCGGTATATGGCTCCCCGACAAAAATGTTGCACACCCCTGATCTAGAAACTTGTTAAAATATTTTTATTAGGTGAAGAATACACTAAATCTAGTGAGAGAAAAACGAGCAATGCTGTCAAGTTTTCATAAAAAAGAATGAATATGAAAAATAAGAATAAAAGGAATATTTGAATAACTGAATAGATACATGAGGTAAAATATTAATGTTCTATCAATTCTATCAAAAGTAGAGCTTTAAATGAAGAAATTGCGTTTCAGGTTTAAACGAATCAGATTGTATCTTAAATTTATATCCGAAACTTTCATGGTCCTTTCCGTGCAACATTTTGTAAAAAATATCAGCGGGTTTGGATTCAACGTGTTGTTTTCACACTGACTTAAAAATCTGCTCTGCTGACTTTACGTCGCGGAGTAACGGATCTTTAAAGATTATCAAAATTTAGTAGATGCTATTTATTTTTTACCTTGTAATCTCAAAACCTAAGAAATGTGGCAACTAGTCAAACTATGTTAAACAAAACTTTCATAATCCTCAATATTCAAAAACTATAAACCTAATAATAAACAGGCATTTGATCCACGCTATCTGAAAATAGTTTCTGTAACAGTGCCAACAACAAATAGCCTGAAATTACCCCGTAAATCAATACAGCAGGAAGCAAAGCGAAATCTAGTTTAGCGTGGCGTAAGTATCTTAACAGCTCCAAAGTAATCCCCCTTTCCATTTTCCGTCCGAATAATGTTGAAATTGAAAATGTTGTTAAATTTTTTAAGCGTTAATATTTGTTATTGGCTCAATCTTTAGAATATACTAAAACCCGCTACTGGCCCTGTGCATTCGTCAGTTTAATGTTGTGGTACAATCACTAGATAATTTTGTTCTGGAACCTTGTAAAGTTTCTCGGGGTTCAAGTTGCTGATGTTTTGTATACAAAATGAATGAAATCCTTTTTTTTTGTATTGCAACTTTAATACCTACCAAGCTTTTCTTTCTTATGATTATTTTTACTGATTGGAATATAAATTTTATTTTAATTGTAAGTAGTGATGAAAATACTGTTTTGTAATCATTAACCCTGCCTATATGGAAGAAATCTATCTAAATTATACATATAAGCCCGCATAATTTATTAGTAAAATATTGAAATCACATGTACACAATATATTATCTAATAGCCTACTCTAGTTTCAATATATTAACAGTAATTATAGTCATAAAATAGGGATCGTAATGGGAGTAGTAGCATATGTTTGGAAACATTTCTTGATATAATTTTTTTTAAACAAATAATTTCGATTTTTGTAAAAATCTTTCAAATGTGCTGAATTAGGAAAATTAAAAGACATAAAACTCAGGAAATGTCATTTACGGTAAACCTGACATTGGTCTTAAATTAAAAAAAAATATCATCAGGCATAGGCTACACGATAGATCCCAATCTTCTATTTTAAACAGGTTATATTGCAAAATTCTATATATTTATTAAACTAAATCAAAATAAGAAGTGATTTGGAAATGAGATAGGTTATTGATTAAAACGAAAAAAGAAAAAACTAAGCCAGGAGCACAACAAAACCGCTACAATTTGTAGTCAATTTTAACTTGAGAAAAAAAATCTACAATTGAGAAGGTAAAATTTACATGCAATACATTTTTCCTTCAGGAATCATAGGCTAGTTAGCATCCTAGAGGAGAACATATTAGTAGAAATATTCGCATTACACGAAAAGTTCGAAAAATGCTGGAATCTATTAAATAGCAACGATGATACAAACAACAAGAGTTTTATTCTAGTTTTTCTTTTGAGAGACAGATATTCATCAATCAAATCAATCACTAAACGCTATAAAAAGTCGAGTTCAAATTGAATTTGCCTGACCACCTAAAGCAGGAAATGGCATTTGTAGATATGCATTCGTGCCTATAGTCGACATGTAATGTGTTGTCGCATACAGAGTTGGGGATGCAATTTTAAATTCCACATGTTTAATTACCCGCTAATGGTCCTATATCCCCAAGTCGGCGTCGAAAACTTCAACTAAAACTAGGAATGGAATACAAACGCCAAATTGTTCAAAATTGAATCTTTTTAAAACACGACTCGGGAGAAGAACAAGGATTCGGAGTTTTTAACAGAGATTAAAAGTCTTGAGTCGAGTTTTGATCAATCTGGAGCCGGTTGTTGCTGAATTTTTTTGAAGTAGCAAAAATATATGACTTTACAGTGACTTAATACTCATGATCGCTATATGCTACACTCAAAAGTAGCACAGCACGTCATTAGTTCTATTCATACGATTTTTTGTTTCACAAAATATATTTAAACTGTAACTCTGCCATGAAGATGGCAAAGTATTAGCATAAATATCAAATCATTTCACATTAATGAACAATCAAACGTCAGGTACAAATCATTAACACTTAGATATTAATCACAAATTTCATAATATTAGGCGGTAAATTAAAATATTATATCTGAAACCTGAATTTCTTTCATCTTAACTATCGATAAAATATAAGAATAACAGAAGATATATCACTCATCGAGTGAGCATTGCCACTGGGGCTGCCTGGCTGTATGGTGTCGCCTTGATTTCCTGCCCAACCTGAAACAAAAGAAAAAGATATCATCGTATAAGCTCCGTATATTATAAGAGCTAATTTCAATTCACCATTGGTTAGGAAAAAAACTACATACAAGAACCCACTAAGCCGATTTAGAATAAAAAAATCCTCGAAACATTTCAGATATTACATATCAAAAGTTTTTTACAACCTTATGTAGATTGCACCTTTTTGTTATGATAACTCAAATGAAAGCATTTCATGGAACGCTTCATAGATAACATAAGTTTAAAAGTCATCTTTTCCCCCTTTTATTATTTCAATATCTCTAAAATGAAGATTTGTGATAAGAATCATATTCAGGCTTATCAGATATAACTGATAGATATAACTCACCAGCAAAGTCCCCACAAGTTCCATAGTGTCCCATATCTTCCGACAATCCTCCAACACAGAAGTATTCTGGTTCAAACGATCTCATTCTGAAATATATATTTAAATTGCGTATTTCTAAGTGTGATATATTGAAGAATATTAATTGGTAATATGTACGAAATGTTATCTAAACCTTCAAACACTTGTGTGTTTGTCATTATTGGACACAGAGTGTACATATTAATCGCTTTGGTAAATTGTTGTTATTGCTACTGTTGTTATTTGGGGTGGTTTGAAAAATCGCAATTCTCTGCAAATATTTGTACAATCAATTTGAAATTTGCAGATCTAGAGATTAAGGATGTCAATATGAGGCGAAGCCTTTTATTTATATTTTGATAAGTCACCCAATATTTTGGTATTTTCGGGATTATTGCTCCTCCACGTGACAATACATGAGACCTGCCCGCCACCCTTTAGACCAGGGGTTCCCAAACTTTATTGGCCGCGGGCCAAAATTAGAATCGGAAGGTTGTTCGCGGGCCGGAAGAGCGCAGTGCGCGATGATTTAGTCATGACATTTTTCTAAAACATGTTTGTTAACTTATAATGGTGCTTTATAACGTATTCCTTCAGAATTGGGATGGTTTGCTGACAAAGAAGACAAATCTCTAAAGTTTGATTTTTGCCAATACAGAAATACGAACGCTGCCATTTCTTTATTTAAGATTTAAATAAAATCCGTTTCCAGAGTTTAGTTTATGTTTGCTATTTGACATCTCAAGCTTTCTTAATGGTTATTATCTGAATTACTGCCCTATGTTATCCTAATACCTAATACGTATAATTGAGAGCCGGGTGTGCTTAAACTGTGATAATGACATAACAATTGGCAGTGTCTACAGATCACAAAAAGTAAAAACAAAGTCTGTTAAACACTATTTCACTTAAGCTCGACGGGCCATTTAAAATTGTTATGCGGGGCGGATTTGGCCCGCGGGCCGCGTTTTGGGAACCTCTGCTTTAGACAAACCGGCATGTAAGTCGCATAAGCTAGTCATTGGCCTTTGATGCTCACATGTTTAAGCACTACTCTCTCGTTATATTTTATTACCTTAGTCCAGGGCATAGTGCATTGGGAAATCCTGTCAGATTGTAAGCACGGAACTGAAGAAATCCCGGTTCTACTGATGACTGAAATTTTGGTGGAACCATTTGCAATATTGTTTCTGCGTTTCCTTTGTCGAACGTGACCGGCGTCACAAATCCTTGTTCACTGGTATTTTCTATTATTTTAAGTATTGAATGTTTAGTCAATTAGTGAAAGATTTACGTCTTCATTTCAAACTTAAATAATGTGGATCATAGGTCATAATATCATATGTGGATAATGTGGATCACATTAATGCGGAATGCAGATACTGTTACAAAGAGGTCGATGAATTCCGAATGAAAGATTAAAATGTGGCAATCTATAAAAAGTAACAGAATGGAACAAGACAAGATAGATTGAAAGATATTAAATAACTTTCAAATATATCCAATGGTCAATTTCAAGATAGAATGTTAGAAGTTTAGTTCATCATACTAGTTCATCACACTAAAATATTAACTCAGGATCACATGCATACGCAATACAATGCTCAAGTAGTTGAGCAGGTATTTCCTCCAATGCCATTTTTGTTTCAAGAATTGAATTGAAAATTATTGTACCTATAAAAAAATCAGGCATCTTAGATAAACTTCCCAGTACAATGTTTGCGACGATGTCTGCTTCGCTCTTGTCAAACGTCCAGTTAGGTAACCTGTAAAGTTTATACAGTGTAAACGACAATGCCTGATTTAATCGCTAATACAGATTTTTTTGAGTCAGGCTCTACTTTATTCATACGAGCAGTGGCGTAGCATCCGGCCCCGCAACCCCCGCGGTCGCAGCGCAAAGGGGCCCCAAGCGGTTAGAATTTAGAAATTTAAGCCGAAAAACCAAAAGCTGCATTGCAAAACCAGTAATGCACATCTAATTATAATGTTGATTTTAGTTCAGCTCAAATCGTATTGTTACGTAATAATAGTGGAGTCGATTTTCGGCGTCATGTGGTTTGATCTAGAGATGTACCGATGTATCGGTATCGGGTATCGGCAATATCGGCCATTTTTTCTGTATCGGCCAAGTATCGGTATCGGTTAGATTAAGGCCGATGTTTCCGATATATTTATCTTTTTGATATGATCCAGAATGTTTTAAAAGATAAGTTGGAATACTACTTTTGAATTTATTTTTTGTCTGGAGAGATCGTGAGCTATGAGCCATACATGTCCCCACCCCTGCGAGAGAATAGGATGCACGTGTTTTTAGCTATTTATCACCAATCTAGCCCAACTAATTTGGCTATTTTTGATGTCAACTTTTTATATTGACATTTATAATATTACATAGTAATTATGAAGAAATATATCAACACAGCACATAACAAAAAGCAACTAGGCGCCCAGTTTTATATCATACAGTGGAATTAGGGTTCTTATTAACGGCACATGGACTTTTGGCATGGGTATAAATTCAGACTGTTTGTCGTCGAGTGTCATTTAATCCGTCGACATCGATAAACTAAATTCCGACACAATTATCCCTCTACGCAGGTATTAATTTTAATTTTGTTTAACTACACAATATCTTTATAGATATAGTGACATGACCGCTTAGCCCTAGACTGTCTCAAAATATATGATGGCAATTGTATAATAATATAAAATAGTAAAATAAAAAAACATCCTCGACGGTTATAGGTAGGCCTTCTTTTGGTCGGTGCTGATTGATATTCTTTCATGTTGGCTTTGACTTATCGCGTCGACGATTTCGATTAGCCACGGAATAAAATATTTGTAAAATGCTTTTAATTTGAACGTAGGACGGCGACGCTAGGATGTGTGGGTGATATTCGATATTCTTTTAAACACGAATAACGATATTCGAAGGTCGCGATATTTACATTAAATTCAAATTGGACATCCCGGCTTATGAGTTTTCTAATTGAACACCGAGATTACTAGCGTTACTGTACAATGTATCTTAATCAGTTAAAGCATATGTATACCAAACATTAATTTCATATTATGTGATATATCTTTTTTCGATCTGAAATATTGTGTACTATGAACAACGCTCAAAAACCATTGTTTTAACCCGCCTGCCTTACACAGCACAACTAAAGAAGTATTATTTTTACATAGTATCGGTATCGGAATATTGGTAATATCGGCCTTGTTGTAGTATCGGCGTATCGGTATCGGAGTTTTTAGCTAGTATCGGATCGGTATCGGTATCGACGACAAAAGTGGTATCGTTACATGGGGGGGGGGGGGGGGGGCTCCCACGAGAGTCTTGCTACGCCACTGCATACGAGCTTACATAATTTCTAGAATCACCTCGTGAGAAGCATATATCCCATTACTATGTTTGTTGGGCTTCCTGTAACGCGATATGTTGAACCCTTAGAGTCTTGAGATTCTAACTTGAAAGTCTTTGGTGGAACAGATTTCCAAATCTGCAAAGTAACAGCATACTTCATTGCAATAGTTAACATAAGTATATATAAATATTTACATTTGATTATGGCAACCTAATCACACACTGAGTTCGCTGAGTTGTCACGCACAATTAAAAAAACATGTTTCATTAATAACTCACTATTAGGAAATTATGGCAGAACTGCAAGTTAAATTATGGCTTTATTAAAAGGAATTGAGGAATTCGCATCGACCTCCGGAGGCAAAACAACGGGATGGCCGGCGATTCTAATAATTTACTATTTAAATCGAAATGGTCGGTCTTAATCATTACATAACGTTGCAGATTGTATGCAGTGATGGGTGGAAAATTACTAACAACAGGTTCCCTCATTACAGAAACCCACGATGAACTTGCAGTTATAAACTCTCAGCTGAACTTCTACTAAAGCTATGTAACATCGTCTCTTCTTTTATTGTGCTTAAAACATATCAATTAAAATTGAATATGTGCATACCTTTTGACTGTGAGCAACAAAATGGAATTCATAGATTGTGGGAGAAGTGTCACTTGAACGCTGAATTGCTCTGTACTCCAACTGAAAATCATCTGCAGATACTTGACTTTCGAAAGGTTCTCCTTCTTTGATGCGGTATCCGTCTGTGCTTCCAGCACCAGGGCTTGAATAAATCTTCAACAAATAAAATAAGTATCTATCATGTTTAAAATAATTGAAAAACGCAGAAGGGTGGATAAAAGTGATTTAATGAAATAAATCAGCTAAATGTTGAATTTAGATAAGCGTAACAAATAAAGTTTATTCATATTTCATAAAAAAATGACCATATGAAGTAAAGTTGTAACAAATTTCGAGTTCAATTCAAAAACAAATAATAGCGTTCTTGTGGATTTCAACTACCCCGAAGTATTAAACATTTGGAATTGATTGATCTATTAGTCGCGAATGAATTGGTATTCCCAGCCATAGCACTAACAAAAACAACAAAACAAAGAGTTTGCCATTGCACACTTTGTTTAAATTGATCGCACTTACAGTTGTTTCGAAGTAGCTGCTATGATTCTTGTGATTATAAATTGCAGTTGCCATAATGAAAGGTTGAGATTTTTCTGAGTTAACAATAATTTCTTCTCCAGACAAACTGAAATAGGAAACAAAAAAAAAGTAGTTCCGCAAAATAATAATAAATGTTTCTTGTTCGGCTTCTGGGTGTCCGAATGTGGTTTATGTATTTTTCAAAATTTTTCTAATAATGGGTGTTGAGAAGGCTTAGGAATAATTTACCCGGCTTCAGTTGGACTAGAGTTTGCACAGAGGCGGACGCACCTCAATATATCATAATATCTCAATATATGATATTTGTTTTCTTACAAACATACACACGAGAGCGCTATCAGAGCACCAAACTACTTTGTAAATATGCGCGGCCACATGGGTCTTCATAGCATATTCATATACCATAGCATATACTATGTAAAAACGCTCATCCGACGTTTCAGACCGCAGAAACGACCCGCAAAGGATAACCATTTTCGTGTTTTGAGATATGAAATAATCGTGGATTCCACCACTCTTTGGCGAAGAAGTGCAATTTGATAAATTTGATGAAGGTTTTATTAAATTTCATTGCAGAAGTGTTTAGACTACCACGCGTTTTGAACGATTACTGGCGTGATTTCAAGTCGCAAGAGTGGGCAACATAGAATGTTTCTATCGGAACGAATAATTTAAATATTTTAAACGAATTGTCGAATAACTGTCTTTTTAATATATATATATATATATATAACAGGCATCCAGAACGCTAGACAGTCTAATGTTGGTATGTGGCATTTAAGCCGGTCTTCATTTTTTCCACATGGACCAATTCTTACGCAACGGCGAACGTCAAAGTTTGGTTTTATATTCCTGGATCATTTCTGACAAAGGAATGCGTATATTTATGAAGACGATAGTTGACCTTTTTGTTTATTTTCTTTTTCTTTCTAGTCTGTTTTATTTTCGTGTTAAATAATAAACGAGAATATCGGTCAGAGACCGAAGACTTATCGATCGAAAGTTAGGGGATCCCCCAAAACAGCGTTCTTACTCCATAGTGACATTTTGTGCCCCGTCACTAATTAATTAATAACTCGCTAATTATACGACATAATTCATCCAAAATTAATAAGCTCCTGGTCCCACATATGATGAATGCACATGCAACATCTGGAGCAGATTCAATCTCGCTTTCGTGAGATATCGCATGCATCTAACAGACAAATAAATACCTACCAACATACTTACCGATTAAAATCAATAAGTAATAAAAACCCTGTAAAGTTGTCATTGCGTAAATCCTGAATATTTAGAGTTTAAATGATGAATTAATAAATCGCGGAAATACTGGCAATTCTACTGGTCAAATATTACTTTCTTGGTAAAATTTTGTACAATAACTTGTAATCTTGTTTGACATTTTTAATTTTACGCAACGGTGTTGGTACTTTTTATGCAAAACCGGGAATTGAAACAATACCCAAGTACGACTCCGTAAATTTGTTGTTTCTGTTAGTGGGCAAGAGCCTTGGGCTAATTCTCGCGGGATTCAGGGGTTCAGTTGTGTACGCGCGAGTTCTGTTACAAGCAAAGCGGCCTAGGTACTGGATATATGAGTAGTAAGATGACATGCTAATACTTAAAGAGAATGGCATCGAAAGATTATTGTTACGTAACAACAACCCCCCCTCCAAAAAATAAATAAAAATAAAATAAAAATAAAAAAAGGAAATTGTCCACTACTGAGTTTGCATTTATTGATGACTCAAAGCAACACGAGTCATCTGTATGGAATGACTTGGACTCGTCACCAAACAACCGCCAGTGAGACTTAATGATTGAATTCGGAGCTCGGAATCTGCTCAAAGCTCGGATGACACGTGACTGAGCTGAACTCCCGACTCGGGGTTTAGAGACTTCCGCCCAATACTGCTAATTATTATCGCTTATGATACATACCTGTATTTTTGGCCATACGTCATGTATGGTGTACTCTCCGTGTCGCTGCTAAACTTCACCTATAAATAAACAGTAGATTGATGTTGAAAATTAATAATAAACTTGTATTAGTAGTTTCACGAACTATTCTTCAAGCGTTATATTTATTGTTATTTTGAATGTTGATATGTTCACTTTCGGTACACGTGCAGGATGACACAGAAAATTTAGGATCTATAAATTTCCAAATTTATTTAACAAAATGGATAAATTTGAACTTTATTTTTTTATAGGATTGCACCCCAATCTTCTAGAAATTCAGCACGCTTTGCACAAAAGTTATGATCTCTCTAAAATATGGTACCAACATTATTCAGAATATGACACCAATACCTGATTGCCTTGTGAATAGTATAGTTTGGTGTCATTTATTGAACCCGTGTCTCCAATGGGATACTGGTAAGTGTACCAGTTTGGTATGCTTGCTATGATTTCAGCAGAATGACTGATTAGGGTTTTCATCACATCGTTAGTCCTCTGATCTGGAAGAGCCTTGTCCGCCTCCCGATATTCTAAAAAGAAAAAAAAATGGGGTTAACTAATTCCTGTTTTGTTCTGATAGTTTGTATAGGTTGTTTTACAAAAAAAAAAAAAAAATTGATAAACTTATGAGGACGTCTGGTTTAACAAATTTTGCATTAGTTTTTGCTAGCGACTTCACTCATGAGTACGATGGGTTGGTTCTTCGTATCCTTTCTCTATATATAACATTTAGAGTGTAGATGTAGACCTTCAGTATTTTGTTTATATTAGCGAAGTTTGTTTAATTCATACAACACTCATTCGTCTCACCAGGAATCCAAGATGAGCAAGTACCTGGCAAGCTGAGCTGTTGCATAAAATTCAATAGAATAATCCAAAATATTATTTTCAAAAAAAAATGGGTCCAGAAATTTTTGGCTGGGCTACGCCTTTGATGTATTTGAATAATCATCGCTGACTTAACTTGAATAATCTCCATCATTACCTTTGTCTAATATCAATGGATAACTTTCGTCAAACAAAGTCTTCAAATTTCCTCCACTTTTCTGAAGAAAATGGTTTGTTGTCCGGTAGCGAAGTTTTGCCCGTACTTTCATCTCAGTCAATGGTGTTTCGACTGGAACGTGCCAAATCATGACATCATTTGTCTGAAAAATTAGAATATATTTAGAGTTAATTATGAACTGATTTAGTGTTTTCCGGGAACATTTCATGCAGTTTAGGCATAACTTATATAATGGAAGTCTTCAATTTTTTTATTTTTTATGATCAACATTGTTCTAATGAATTATCAAAGTTCCCCTTATGAGTGTCCTTTCTTTTTTGTTTGATCAAAAGTAACACTATAAGTGCACTTCAGATACATAAAGACACTAAATATTGGTTTCTTCAAAATTTCACGACTCTGAGAAAAATTATAAGATATTGAAAGATATTTCTTCGCTGGAAAAACATACAATAATCTCAATGAACATAAGATGATTTCGTACTTCGCCGATAAACAGTAACTTTTATTTTTAAAGCCCGTGATCGAAGTGAATGTGCCAAATAACTTTTTAAAACCAGATTTTTTAAGTAAAGAGTCACGTTCTTGCAATACATTAGGAATAGTTCAGAGTTCACATATTTTTTTGATTAATCTTTCATTATTGAAAAATTGAATTGAATGCAGTATACTGAATTTACATTTAAAGCAAAGTATCCCATATTCTTGTAATCATCTTCTGTACATGTTTGAACTTCACCAAAAATTCTTTCGTTTTCCCAGTTAGTTTTATCTGCAAACAATATATATAAAATAATAGGATTAAATAAATAGGAACTAAACTTTATTTGCGCGACGAATTTTGTCGGCATAAAAATAAAAATAACATATTGATAACATGATATTATAATTTCATACCCTTTATAAGTTCTATACACAATATGAATCGATTGGTTCGCATAAAATATTGAATACGTGTAAAATTCAGTAGTTTTCATTAATTTCAGTGCCAGTTTTAAGAATTAGAGTACTAGCTGATCGTCTGGGAAGTTTTTAGTGTTTTGGATCTTTCGAAGAACTGAAAATGATATTCATAATTAAAAACCAGATGTCTTACGATGCACCTCAAAAGTGTTGTTATTAATTTGTATTGAAAAATATTAATGTCTTGACCTTTAGCTACATCAAATGATGCGTAATGGGCCCATCGGTCATATACATCACATTTCTTGTTAATATCTGACTCGTGTATGCTTGCAACGAGTGTCCAACCACCTCCATCTGTTTCCATATCGCAGTATGTCTGAGTGAGAATAAAATAAATATACACTTTTAAAATATATGCTTACAGATTAGACACTAAAATATCCACGAACTCGCTGTTAAAACAATTGAAGTGAAAGCTCAAAATCATAATGGAACTTTGCAGAGATTCAATTAATTTCATGTTGTTGTTGAACAAACAAGAATAATGTATTAAAGAATTTTATTAATCACCATTAGTCAAATTCACCTTAAATTCATCAAAGTTTTCCTTCGGTCTAATGAGATATATTCCACTGGCGTTTATGTTGACTTTTTGCTGTAACAGGTCAAAGCAAGAACTCATCTGGGGTCCTGTTTGACTTGTTTCCACATTCTCAAAAAAAGTAATGTACATTAGCATTAGAATATAAGTAATGGCGAAGTCAGCCAAATCCCATACTGTTATAGTTTCGAAAGAAAGTTAAAGTACTTTCTTTTTAACCAAACCAGCAACTAACAAGCTCTATGCTTGATAAATTATTGTGCCAGCATGTTGCATCTGAATGTTTTATAATAACATAACAGCATATGCTAATTTCAAACCTAACATATTTTCAAGTATTTCAACTTATATTATTCAAGATTCTCATAAGGTGAAGCAACAAATACGATTGATCATTAATAAGATTGACAGAAAAACATTTTTCCACAGCATACTAAATCGAAACCGCGACTGCGAATTCGATCTAAAAAGGAACATTACCCCCAAGTGCAAATATATTTATAAATATACTGCAGATATTACTAACTATAAAACCCCTTTTCACTGAAAAACTCCTCGTGGCGTTGTTGGAAGTCTTAAATATTGATTGCCTTCTCTGAGAATTTCTAAACCTAAGTCTCAAGTAAAGACAGATTTAAAAATACGAATTTGATCGTCGAGTCACAGTGTTAAGAGAAATAGCTAAAAATTTATTTGTTAAGAAGCTTTTAACCTATTATGCAATTACCTTATTTATTTTGGGAAGGTAAAAGACCAAAACTACTCCAATAGATAGGAAACCGACAGTAAGCAGGAAGTAGATTCCACCGAAAAGTTTGCAATATTTTGAATGTTTCTCTCTAGCATCTGTTTGTTGAATATAAAAGTAAAATTAATTTTTCAAACGCTGGTTAGTCTTTCGTTGTATACATTAAATATTTGTTTACATGGCGCTGCTACTTCTACTATTATGAAATGTTTCACACCTACGCACAATAGGTTCTCGCAAACTTCACTTCTGGAAAAATTAATTATCCTGTTCTTTGCGCGATGCTACTTATTTGGGTAATCATATATGATTCTAATTTGAATGATTAATATGAGTTAATATATTATACGTATACGCGTTATCGTGAACGTCTATATTAATAAACACAATCAATAAAACGCTTTTACGTCGTCAGAAACTGTCCGAAGTATGAATAGCATGGATTTGAATGATATGACAATGGTTGTGTTATTGTTTTGATGGAAAATAACACAAGAAAACGATCAAATTCAAGTTAATCAGTGCTTAACCCTCTATCAGAAGCAATAACATTCAAGTTAAAAGTTGTTTTCTACAAATTCTTAAGTACTCCCGTCGTATGTGAACCAAGATGTAAAATAATATTATGCACACGACCTTTCGCGCAAACTTCTGTGAAAGAACACTAGCATACACTCAAAAAAAGCCACAGGTGCCGTTCTAGGGCCTAATGGTTGTCGATAATTAAAAATGCGAAAGAAACCATACAAAATGTTCCCAGGTTACTAGGCTAGACAGCAATATTTATAAGTGTAAATTAGTTTCTTGGTGAACATGTCGAATATATATTGACGATATTTTTATCATTTACCATACACGCACAAGCCTGGATTATAAAATGTAAGTTTGGTTGTATCAGTTCGCAAATTAGTGATGAAAAAGTTGTAAAAATTTGACCTCACTTAAAATGCCGCAAAAACGCTTTTCGAAAAAAAAAAAAAAAAAAAAAAAATTTGGGGAGGAGACGTGGACATGCCCCCTCGATCCTCACTTACAATCCTCCAGGCTACGCTCGTGAATGTATTTATAGACAATTTGTACTGGTAACGTTTAGTCGTTGTTGTTCACTTGCCTGAATAATCGATTAGTGGCTCATTTCCGCCAGTTGGGCTATTGGGATACGTTAGCCAATTTATACTAATACAAACAGTCTGATAGAAACTAAAGTGTCATTGATGATTACAAATTTACGTTATTATCATGACTTTATGCATGTGTTGGAATCTGTAATGCCAATTTTAAGTTTAAAATTGTATAAAAACTTCAGCGTTGCAGTCAGGTTGAAGAAAAACAATGCATCGAAAATGTAATTTTAAGCATGGAAATAGATCACCCAAAATTAGATCTAATCATAACTACGTTGTTATTGGCAACAATGACACGAGTCTGGAGTCTATGTTTTGCCGTCCAATGAAACCAGCCTTGATCGGACAAAAAGTATGAATATTGCCTGTATATGATAAATCTAGACCGAGATTCTTGCAAATGGAACAAAAATATGAAAGTCGAATTAAAGCGTTGCAGACAAACAATGTTGCAAATAGAGGTTGGAATAAAATTAAACATACAAGTTTTAGAAACGATTGAAACAGTTTGCGTACTGTCAAACATTGTTATCTTGAAAAAGCAATCAAGGTATGTAGAATAATAATAATAGCCACTATATAGGAATGCAAAATCAGTGCTAATAACCAGTAATTGACTAAATTCATATCATTCATAGCAAAAATTGAAGAAATAGATAAAGTTTACCACTAACCCATATTCGCAGCCGGTATTCCATTAAAAAGGTCTGCAATTAAATTATTACCTCCTTCATCCGTCATATTACATGGATGTGGTGAAACTTTGACTGAATTCTAGCAACCTAGAACCACGAAAATAATTGCAAAATAAAAATATTAGTAAAATGAAACTAATATTTTGTATAAAACTATCTTGAGAAAAATAACAACAAAAATTGGGCATTCAACCGGGTGTTACTTGTTTAAAACAGATGAAGAAATACCAAAAAACGAATACTGACTGATATCTAGAAATCTCATTGAAATAAATATTGAGTGAATATTAAGTGGAGTGTATAAGTGGATAAATCTTGACTATATATATATTCAGTCCGACGCGATGGCCTGGCGATTAAAGCGTTAAAATTGACGCAGATTATACACCTGGGATTCCAATGCCAATCTTCTACTTCACCCAGGGGTTAATAAATTGAGCAGGCGATGCTAAATAGAAAAGTTTCCGGTCCTTTCAAGTAACAGTAGCTTCCTACATATAGGTAGATATTGGAGGGTGCTTTTCAATGCCTTGTCCGGAGTGGGATTTGTGAAAAAAGCTTTGTATTATCAAGAGGTTTGCCACTCAGCGGATGGCCTACATGACTGGAGTCCGAGTGAAAGTGTCAAATTTCGTTCAACCCGAGGTAAAGGTTTTAAAAAAAAGCCAATAGCTGAAGGGAAGTCAGGTCCGTAGTTGATTTTAAAACATCTATCTAATTATTGTGGTACTTCCATTTTGCATAAAGAATTTAGCCCAGCATGGCCAAGGCCACACACAACCTCGTATTTGAGTAAATTGTAAATAATACTGATTGAAGCAATTAATGTCGGCACGATCTGGAAAAGAGCTATCGTACAATGTGCACAGAAATGTACGTAAGTGAAGTTCACTAAACGAATTTGTCCTAAATTTCTTTTCATTTGAGTGAGAACTTTGATGAAACATTAAATTGTTGTTTGCTTCGTGCATAACATTAAGCCTGATTGAACCCGACCCAAAAACTTATCTCTTGGTTTTATATTGTCCAAACAAAAGAATCTCATTAAACTTGAACGTCGAAAAGCCCACGAGAAATATTTTTCAAAACCCAGTACAACACACCTTCTGACACTAATAAAGCGAACTGGTTCAATGTACTGTGGATTTACAATGCGAAATGAATATTTAATAAAATCATTACAGTAAACAGACTTTTTTGCATCTATACATTTCTCAACTCCATATTTTAAACTAATCCGTCTGAGAGTTGCCAGATTATTGGCGCAGAAATTAAAATTTTCATCAAACATTGCAATCGCATATTTACTATAGAAACCATATAAAAGCGCATAAATATTTCTACCATCACTATCGCCTGTATGGGCATCTTGCTAAGATGCTTGCGTTAATATTAACTACAACTTGGTCGATGAAACAGGTACCAGGTGTCATATTTGCACTACTCTTAGACGAGACCCAAATCCTACGTAGTGACGTAATTGGTTTGCATATCTTATCGTATGAACCTCGGCAAACAAACAGGAGCATGTGATAAAAAGTTAATTATGTTTTCAGATATTTACTCTTGAGCATTCCATATCCCGAGGCGTGGATTAAAAAGATTTAGCTTTGAACAGTTTGGCGTTTGTATTCTCTTTTTAGTTTTAGTTGGAGTTTTCGACGTCAACTTGGGAATATAGAACCCTTATCGGGTAATTAAGCATGCTGAATCCATTGCATTGTTGCAAATTGTATCCCCCACTCTGCATGCGACTCCAAATTCCATGTCGACTAGGCGCCCATCAATATCTACAAATACCCTTTCCTGGTTACGGTGGTCGACCTAATTCAATTTGCACTAGGCTGATTATAGCATTGTGCAGTAATTAATCTGATTGATGATTATTTGTCCCACTCTCAGATGAAAAATAAAAATAAATAACCTTAAAAATGTTTGTATCATCGTTGGCGTTTTATCGATCCCAGCATTTTGTCGAACTTTTCGTGTATTGTGAGTATTTCTACTGGTATGTCTTACTCTAAGATGCTAGCTAGCCTATGAATCTTGAAGTAACGATTTATCGCATGTAACTTTTACATTTTCAAATGTAGATTTTCTTGGAAAACTGCACATTGAAGCGGTTTTGTCGTGTTAATCGATAATTGACAATCTAATATCCTAATCAAGTTATACTTTTCCGTGTGCTTGATCTAGTTTAATGAATATACTGACATTTTGTCATATACCGTAACCTATTTATAACAAAAGAATGAGATCTTTCATATAGGTCAGATGGTATTCACTTCTTTAGGATTAATGCCAGGTTGACCGGGAATGCCATTTCGTATAGTTTTATGTCTTTTGATTTTTCTAACTCAGCACATTCAATAGATTTTTACAAAAATCGATTAGATTTGTTTAACTAAAATTACATCAACAAAAAAAGTTTGCATGCAATCATAGGCTTCTACTCCCATTACGGTCCCCGTTTTATGGCCATGATTACTAGTAATAAATATATTGAAAAATATAGTATTGCATAATATATTGTGTGTTTGTGATTTCATTTGTTACGAATAAATTATGCAGGCTTATGTGTATTATTTAGGAAGATATCTTTCATATAGCAGGGTTGATGATTACAAATCTCATCACTATTTACAATTCGAGTAGTTTTTTTTAATCAGTGAAAGTAATCATGGAAAAGTTAAAAAAGAAAAGGTCGGTAGATATTATAAGTTGAAATATCGAAAAACGAATTTTATTTAATTTGTGTTTAAAACATCAGCAACTTGGACCCCGGGAAAGTTTCTGAACAAAATAATCTTGTGATTGTACCACAACATTAAACTTACGACAACACATGCTTTAACGGTGATTAGTATATTCTACAGATTGATCCGATAACTATCAGTTTTGCTTAAAAAATTTAACATACTATAAAACGGTGCAAGGGAAGTGAGTAACAGATTGGAAGTGTTTGGTCATTACAGCGTACTTCAACCTTAAAATTATTTAGACGGAAATTTGTAAGGAGGCTTACTTTGCAGCTGCCCAGAGATTGATATTCAGGGAATTTGAGGGTGACACTGTCACAAAGAGTATTTTCATCTTGCGTGGATCAGATGCCTGTTCATTATTAGGTTCAAAATTTTGAATATCAAGAACCCTGAAAATTTTGTTTTAAGTTTATATAACATAATTTTCCTAGTTGTCTATACTTCTTAGTATTTGAGTAATAAGTTGAAAGATGAGTAGATTCAACTGAATGTTGATATAAATGTGATTTATGATCCCTTAGTGGGCGACGTGAAGTCGTCTGATCAGATTCATGTCAGGTGTAAAAAAACAACCGCGTTAAAGCAAAGATTTCTTGACCTGCAAACACCGCTTGTAATTTACAAAAAAAAAAATTACACGGCAAGGATTAAGAAAGTTTTGGGTACAATTTGAAGATACAATCTGATTTGTAGAAGCCTGAAACGCAATTTCTTAATTTGAAGCTCCAACTTTGATAGATCATTAATACCATTTGCGACCATAACGACATACGTGGTGATGGTACGATAAAATAATATGATTTATTAACAGTATTAAAATTGATTCAATCCTGGTTGTCGAGTACAACAGTCACACTCGATTTCCTATATTCCGTTTTAATTCCTTCTGTAGTGTTCGATTTCATCTGAACAACGAGAAATTGCTGTAATGAAGGAAATTAATGAATTAAATAGAATAAAGCTCGCCATTAGCTCAAGTCGTCCCCTGATTCATCTTTGTGTATCATGGTTTTAACAATATTAGAACGCAATAGTCTTTTTCTATTTCTATTATTTTAAAGCTGAATTGATTACATTTATAACTAAAAAATGTTGTGTATATATTTTTTAAAAAATTACGCAATTAGCAACAGCCGATTTAATAGTCAAAATTCCACCTATATCGGCACCAATATTACGAATCATTTTATTCAATTAAATTAAACCATTTCACGAATTTATAAAATGTCAAAGAAATTATTACCTAAAACGCATTCCAATGCAAATAGACGTTTTTGTTATGCCATGAATAGAGTCTATGTCAGAAATAACGGCATTCTTTTCTGCACACGCTTCGTACGTTTCAGTAGCGTTGATCCTTTATTTGATCCATCAGTGGAACTTAAGTTTAGAACAATCGTATAAAGAATAGTTTTCCATTATATATCTGTTAAATGACTAGTGACGGATATCAAAGATTCGGTGGTAAGTGTTTACTCGTATATACATTTTGCTACTCATTGTGGCTTCACTTATCGAAAACCCATTTATAACTTGGGCGAGTAATCAAGCTTGGATGACTTCTTGATGTAAGCTTTACCTATAATTTTAATATTAAAATTACTTTCCAGCTCATATAAATATATGCCATATACAAATTTTATGCATAGGTTCTCAAAGTGCTCCGCGCTGAGCCCCAGGGTTCCCTAATAGAAACCTAGGGGCCCGCGCGCTATTCGTTTACTTATTTAAATACTAAATTGGCTAATCCTCATAACATCAAAAGAAACAACGAGATAGCGATCGGAGGCCGCCGACTTATCGATCTAGCGGCGTGTATCATTCGCTTTGACTCAATAGCGACACCGCGTGTCCCATCACTGATCAATTAATAACTCGCTAATTATACGACATAATTCATTCAAAATCAATAGGCTGCTGGTCCGAGATATGATAAATGCACATGCAAAGTTGGACATACTTACCGATCAAGATCGATAATTAATACCGCCAATAATAAAATTCGACAAGTAGCAAATACATACGAGTCATTAAATTGATTAATTTACTCCAGAACATTAATCGGTGTTTGTTAATGTTTTTTATTTACAATTTTTATAAATTCATTGCAGGGCTCCGTTATTAATAATCAACCTTCTCGCGGGCTACGTGACACCAAAAGTTTGAGAACCCCTGGCATAGAGTTTTCTGAGTCTGGGCATGAATGTAGAACTCACTTTTTTTAATGAAAATTCAATTTTTGAAAATTTGAAATCCGTCTTTACCGTCGCTCAACATACTTAAAGTTTAATGTTTAGGTAAATGTATTAGAGTATTTTATTATACAGCAAATATCAAACAATATTTTTCCGCACTTTAAATATAATCGACTTTACATATTATGTACTTGACTCTGCCATAAGCACTTGTTTTACAAAAAGTAAAATGAAGCCTATTCTTTTGAGCGTAAATGTCGTTAATAACCAAAACAGTTATTTTTATTAAAACACACGTTTTATTCTCTATTATGTTACTGAATTTGTTTACTCGAATATAATACTTTTTTAACATATAATTGAAATACCTTATCAGTGGGACTATACAAAAATTATATATTCACTTTAGGCTTTTCACAATAAAAATACACGACCAGCAATATCCATTCCCTCTTTTTGATTTCATGCTTGCTAAAACTAACAAGAGGACTGCACAGCAATGCTGTTCTAAAATAAGTTAGAGATTTACATGAAGAACAACTTGAGTTTCTTTTTTCTATATACGTTTTTACTGCCGCCCAACATACTTAAAGTTTAATGTTTGAGCAATATACATATATAGCAATATCACTGATATTATAAAGCAGTGGTGGTTAAAGATGTTTGACCAGAGCTCAAAATTAGAAGCGGAAAGATATTCGCGGGCGGAAGAAAAACTTTTAACTTGAATACTGCCCTATGTAATTTTGATACCAATACGCATAATTAAGATACTGGTATTACTGAAATTTTACGAATATACGTGCTTAAACTGTGATAACGACGAAAAAAGTTAAAAAATGGTTTAGCTTATTTTTTTCTTGACCCTAGTTCGTTTCAAGCCACAAAAAATCATAACGAATCTAGTTGATGTGGATGGTAGAAATTCTGAACTAACGTTTACGAATACGGAAAAGCGTGAGTATTTGAGTTTTATTTTACTCCAATCTAATTCTTCAATTGATGACCAATTATGAGCGAGAGCGGAAAAACAAAATTTGGTGTTCTTCGGAGTCGTCAGGTTTAAGGGTCAGGTTTTTCAAGAAAGTTGGTTCGGCTGTTTTCATACCTAAAAATCATTTCGTCTTGAGTTTCGAGACTTGGGTAGCAAGTGAGATATCACATTGCAATGAATAAAATAAAAAAATTTTGCACCCTACCTACACGGAAATTAAAAACTTAATTGATGGTAAATGCAAATACTTGGATATTCTTGCAAGGGTTTCGTTTGAATTTAATCAGCTACCGGCCTTTTGCATTTTTATCACGGTAATCGAAATGGTATCAATTATTATTTCACGCTATAATTATTATTCGCGATAGAGTTTGGCACCCAGTCGCATGATTTTTATTTATTTATTTCATACAACTTTAGAGTGTCGATCAAATGGGAAAGTTTATAGTCATTTTTATCTATTAAATTTGTTCAACTGAATGCCATTTTAATGTAATTGAAATATTGCTATAATCCATATCAGTGGGACAATAAAAATCCGCATATTTACTTCAAACAAGTCTTTGGAATTTTCACATTAATAAAAACCAGAAACATGATCAAAAATATTCATTTTTTGATTTCATGTTTGTTAAAATTATTGAAGCGGGGACAAGTGGACAACGACACGGCGAAACAGCCCCAAAGAAAGTTGCAGATTTTCATGCAGGTCAGTTTGATTTTAGATTTTTTATATACAGACTAGATTAAAAATATTTTCTCAATTCCCATAATATATTGATAGTTTGATAAACTGACAACTGGAAGCTCCAGAAGTATGTGCACAAAAATGGCGCACAATCTGAAAATAGTATGTGTACTGGGTTAGAGTTCAGGTTATGCGCCATCTTGGTGCACATACTTATGGAAACATAACACATTTGTCGTCGTTTCTGCTTTTCAACTCAAATCAATATAAGAGTCAAGTTTTTCTAAAAAGTTGGTTGGCTGTTTTCATACCTCAAATTCATTCCGTATTGAGTTTCGAACCTTGCGTAACAAGAGAGATATAACATTGTAATGAATGAAATGAAATTTATTTGCACCCACTTACACGAAAGTTAAAAAATTAAATAATGATGAATTCAAAAAATGAATATTCTTGCATGCCGTATCCTGAATTTTATCAGCTACAGCTTTTTGCACTCTTATCATGGTATTTAAAATAGTATCAATTATTATTTTACGTTATAAATATTATTCGCGATAGAGTTTGACACCCTGTCGTATGGTTTTTATTAATTACTTCACACGACTTTAGAGTTTCGATCAAATGGGAAAGTTCATATTTATTTTATAATATTAAATTTGTTCAATTGAACATTGTGTTAATGTAATTAAAATTTGCTATAATCCATATTAATGGGGATATAAAAAATTACTATATTGACTCCAAACAAGTTTTTGGAATTTTCACATTAATAAAAAAAACATAATTAGCAATATTTATTTCCCTATATCATTTCATGTTTGTTAAAATTGTCGAAGCGAGGACAAGTGAACAACAACACGGCGAAACAGCCCCAAAGAAAGTTGCAGATTCTCATGCAGGTCGATTGGGTAGGTAGGGTTAAACTATTTGCACTCAGCATCAAATTTTTTACGTTTTGTTGCCATTTGTCTAAGTATAATCAATTATAGGCTCATTAAACGAGTGATTGTGAAATATATTATTTTTAGATCATATAATTTAGTGTCTCAAAACAAATCCTGTCACGTAAAGAATATAATCGTCATTGCAGCTGTTTTGGTCTGGATCGCTGACGTTAATATGCCATAAAAGTTATGCAATGATCTTAACTTCAGTGTATAATGTATATACTTGGAAACACAACGTAATTCAGAAGTAATGAATTTTATTTTGCGTGAAAATATTCAAGAAGGAAATAATTTGCAAACGAATTTTTATGTTAAATTGATAAAAATGAAAAAAATAGTTTTGTTACTGCAGACGGAAAATTAACACAGGTCACACACGAAAAGCTTACTCAAATTTGCCTTTTTTTGGAATTAGGTAGCGTTTTTTAATTCCAACAATTTTCCAAACTAGTGAGTGTTGGAATTCTTGAAATAACCTATTTGATATTAATTAAATTTATCATATATTTATCTATCATTATCGTAGATAGTATAGAAAGTAAATAATAATATTAGTATAGTATATAACAAAACTAATAAGTATTGGAAGTGGAGCTTAAACAATTATCACTACACAATATATTCACAAAGAAAATTTCGAAATGACAAAATCAAGGTACGGAAGTCGAGTAATCTATATTGTAAGCTCAATTTAAACAAATTTAGAAGATCAAATTATTTAAAATCATAGAAATAAAAAAATGTAAATTTAAAAGTTTCACTCATCGACGTGCAAATAAAAATCATGTAAATAAAACATAATTACTATTTGTGTCATGGTGTCATAACATCTTGTCATTGTGAAACCATATTTCCGAGAAAATTTAGTAATCCTTTTATTTCAATCCTTTTAGAGAATTTCGAACTACCCACCTAGCCTTTTTGGTAATTTTATGATTTATAATTTACAAAATATTAAATATCAGAAAGCAAGAAACATTCAATAGTTTACAGGTGCTATAATAGAAATGCATTACTTCAATGTAGCAGTAGAACATGAGATTTTATAAATTTAGTGAAAGCTAAAATAGCATAATATCATGATATTCAATATCTCAAAAAATGCTCTCAGTAGTTAAATTTAAAATCAAGAAGTAAGACTTATGGACTCTTTATTATTAATGAGATATATTTACTATTAAAGGTAAAATGTTGATAAAATTATTTTATCATCGTATAATCATATTTGTGAGCAAATAATTTTTTCTAGTTTTTATTTATTATCAGATTTCGCATGAAGCTATTTTAAGTTCTTTTGCGCTTTATAATTCAAATAATCGAAGTCAATTGAAGAAAACAAAAAAACGTTTGATAAATTAAGGATAATATATTATTTTACACAATAAAATATTCTAGCAGCAGAAATGAGGAAAATTATGTCAATTTGGGAAATGAGATAAAGAAAACAAAAAACTTTTAATAAATTACGGATAATATATTATTTTACACAATATTTTAGAAGCAGAAATAGGGAAAATTATGTCAATTTAGGATATGAGAATTTAGTTTTAAATATCGGAGTTTATAATAATAGTACATGACTGTTACTCTACTTCTGGCCCACCCTGCGTAACTCAAAACTCCAAAGAAAAATTAAATACAGGAACGACAATGAATTGTAAATAAGATATATTTACTATTACCGATAAAGCTAAAAAAATATGATGATGTCATAACATCGTGTGAGCAACGAATACTTTTTTTCTCTATTAATTTACGAATTTTCCGCACAGCTTCTTTAAATTATTTTGTGATATTTTAATTTTAATAAGCAATGCAGATCTAAGAAGGTAAAAAGAAATTCAATAAATGACGGGTTAATAATAATTTGCAGATCATAACAAAGAGCATAAAAAATTGCACTTTGTCAACTTAACGATAAAAAATGAGAATGGTAGAAGAGATGTCTTTTTGGGAGTGAGCATTCCCACTTGCATATTCACGATTGACGACATCCTTGCTTTTACCGGCCCAACCTGATAAATGGAAGACATTTCTTTAATGCAACGGCAATGATAGTTATCAACACAAACACACACAGATCAATCCTTATATATAAAAAATGTTTAATATTTCCCAGTTGGAATTTATACTTCGAGATTTTTACCATCAATTGTGAACTAGCCTGTTTTTTTTAACTTCTGTTGTATTCATTAAGGTTTTAATGTTTTTATTTATATTTTCTGATACGTAGCAGCATACGAATAATTCATTCTGTAATTAGCCATAACACTTGTTGAGCGTTTGAATTCCTATTTGAAATACAAAGATTTAAACACCTGCAAAATCCCCACAAGTTCCATCATCTTCAATTTGTTCAGATATTCCACCAATGCAAACAAATTCTGGCCAGAATGATTTCACTCTGAAAACATAATTGATGGTTAAAGAACTTCGATCAGTTTATCAATCTTATAAAAAACATCGCAAATTAATCAAAGTCGATTCGTTATTTTTAATAGATTGTCGTGAATTCTGTATCTTTATTCTATATATTACAACACTAAATTCCAAACATCTTTTTTTTTACAAAATGCAATCGACGTATTAAACAAACATTTCAAAACATTATTCAAATCTGACCTCGACTTTGATATTTCTAATCATTAATTTCAAATGGCATATATTTATTTTTTCGTATATTAATATAAGCTTTGCTAGATTTTTTGGCTACGTTTAAAGCAATAGCAATAGACGTCTGAAACAAAACTTCAAGTTATATTAGGCTAATTAACCCTATTAATTAAGTCAAAGATACTCACTTGATGCCTGGACACATTGCATTCGGATATCCAGTCACATTGTACGCTCGAAACTCCAAATAACCTGCTTCAACTTTTGACCTGAAGTTTGGTGGAATAGTTTCTAAAATTGCATTGGTGCTTCCTTTGTCAAATGTTACTGGGGCAACAAGTCCTTCGCCATCAGGAATTTCTGGAATGTTAATCATGAAAAATTGTACAACATTTCCAATAGCCTAAGACTTCGCTTATTGGAAGTTAACGCATGAAATTAGATTGCATTCATCACATCTTATTTGGATCAGAAAGCATAAGATAAAAACATTGAGAAGAGAAATTCGGTTAACAAATGTTACCTTGAAAAGGATTATGGGTGGATATAAAAGCTCGGATAATCTCATCCGCAACACCATCTGCCTGTGATAAAGTAATTTTTCTCCCTTTAGTTCTGAGAAATAAGAAATAGATAGACAGATAAAAAAATCGAGATTTTAAATAGGATATGATTTTATCATAATGCTAATAATAAATTATTACACTGTCGCTCTTTGCTGATTATAACCTTGGTGTTATACAAATTTGGAAATTGGAGAGTACGTACAAGAGTTATTAAATATTTCTTCCATTTTAGTTCAGTGTCAATTAAAAACCCACGAGGAAAATGGTCTGCTTTGCGTATTAACTTATCGAAAAATAAACCTGGTGAGAAGCAAATATCCCATCACGATGTTCGAAGGACTCCCATTAACTCGAAATCTGTTTGCTCGCCAAGTAGCACCTGATAATGCATAGTGATAAGTTCTTTCAAAAGATGTCGGGGGCCTGGACATCCAATCCTAGAAACATATAATAAGTACGAATCATATCTTTGAATAGCAAATGATACTGAAAGCAAACTTAGACTCTACTAACTAATTGAAACTGAATTAAAAAATAAGGGGTATGTTCTTTTTATGGCCAATCTTGTTTACTTCATTTTATAAATATTTGTTTTCTGAACTAGTAATTGAAAATGATCTGCGGTTTATTTAGTATACGCTGAAATAAAATCTGGTGTAACTGCAAGACATAGTAGTATAAATAATATAAAATTACAACATAGAAATATTAGGACACTTACTTCTGTGTTGCTTATTACAAAATAGAATTCACAAACAGTTGCATACGAAGGTTGGCTGTACTGTACTGCTTTGTATTGCAATTTGTAATCCCCATTTGTTCTATTATTTTGTATCAGTTCGATGGTGTCGCCTGTATAGCGATAGCTTTCAATCTAAATAAATATAGGCTTCAGGTGATGACAATCACTAGTAATATTTAGATTTTGCACCGACATTTACATTTTTTATTTTCATTTTATCATTAAATTTGCGAATGAGAACATATATAAGAAGCTTTTGCTCTATCAAAATCCAAAAGATGTTGAAAACTAAATAAACATTGATATGAATTAAAATTTTTCTTGTTCAAGAAACAAACCTTTATTAGAATTTTCCTAATTCAACCTTGACGCGTTTTGTACAATTGCAAAATATTTTGAATAGAATATCCGTCATTAGCCTTGTTGCTATTTATTTTTAACAAGTCAACAATACAAATAAGATTAAAGCTAAACTTAATTTACTTGAATGTAGAAGTATTGGCAGAATGAATTTTCGTTTGATATAGCAGTAACCAATATGAAAGGTTGTGATGCTTTCAAGCAAACCATCGTATGTCTCCAGTGTGTTCTGTTAATATAGGAGTTTAAAAAAGTTGCATGCGTAAATTACATAGATATAATACAATTGTACGCCAATTTTTGTTCATTTGTAAAGTTCATATTAATTCAATTTTATAATTTGAAATGAAATTTTAGTAATGCACAAATATTATTTTTATTCCGAATTGATGTAATAGAGTCATATTTTTTGTCTGTGTTAAATAATTTTACAGAGCTGAACCATGGACTAGCATTGTCTATTCCTTTTTAAAATTAGGGTACTATACTATCTGATGCTGTGTTATACTATCGGCAATGTGTTCAATAACAAGGAAAATTAGTTAAAATATGAAGTCAACAGCGTACATTTTACTATAGAGAGGTAAAGTTTACAAAGGTTTAAGAAAAAATTTCCTCTTTTGAAAACAGAAAATCCAAGTGTTGACGTAATTTTTAAATAGAAAAATTCAAGGTGAAAACGGGAACTTAAAAAAAACCTGAAAAAAAGAACTCTCATAAAAGTATTTAAAAAAAGGAATTATCTCCTATTTATATCTCAAATTATGAAATGGGTTGGTACGGGACAAAACATTAAATAACTTTTAGATTTAAAAACAATGTAAAAAATAACATGCAAATTACAATTCAAAACAACGATCCATAGGTCAACCCTCGGATCAATAGTGTAAATACGTCAGTTATAAATATATTAGCTGTATGAAATTCAAACGTATATGTAGGAATGTAAATCAAATGCAGAATTCAATTCACATTTATTGCACTCACTCAAATTCATGTTTTTTGTCGTATTGCAGATTACCTCTCCCAATTCTTGAATTAGTAAATTGAATCTGCAAAAATATGTGAGAAATATGATATTCTTGGAATTTCCAAAATTTGCAAATTACCTTTAGTAAACACGATGCTGAACAAAAAGGATTTATTTTCAAATATTGCTTTTTAAATTGTTCGTATCTTTCTAATGAAATATTAGAAGTTACTAAAAATGTATACAAAAAATCTTAAAAGATTTAATATCTAAATTTTTGTAGTGAAAGTTTGCACATCTCATCGAAGAAAAAATTACCGAATCCTTCTGCATAAATTCAACATGCAGCCTTATAAAAGTTTACTACACCTTTGATTGATAGAATACTTATTTGTTATTACTGCGTCTAAAACATTAGGATATAAAATAATTTTTGAACATGGGTGAAAGAATGAGAAACATTTCTCAGTGAAAACTAGATTTCAACCTTGAATTTGCGTTCTAGTTATGCTGATTTAGAAAATTGCAGAATTGTTTGTATCTTAATTCAGTATACTTTATTGAATGAGGTATAACTTAAACCTTACCCTATTTCCATTGGAGTTATACATTTCTCTGTCTTCTATTTGGTATCGGGTATTTCCTGTATAGGTGTCTGAATACGTATACCAATCTGGAATGTTGGTTCTAATTTTTGCAGAATTTTTAACTAAAGCATTCAACACCAACTCGCTTCGCTTAGACAAAATTTCCTTGAATTTTCCTGTTAAACCAATTACAAATAAATGTTCAATTGCAAAACCAAATATTGTCTATACTGCAGAATGTTTATTGAGATATTGAACTCAAGGAATGAATTAGAATGGACAAAAAACTAAGAAGCGTGCGTGGAGTCAACTTTATATAAAAAGTACATATCGGCTGTGATGAGTTAGTTGCAAAGGTTATTTTAAGATGCAAGATAGCAATTATTATTTAGGGCAAATGAGAAAAAAAAATCGGCACAATCATATAACAATACATCCTTTTGTTGTTATAACTTTGGATCTCTTTGTGTCTAGTGATATGCCACATATTTATTACTTGTATATTACATAAACATTTCTTCGCAGAATTACACATATTTTTTCCGTTTTCTGTACAATGAAATGCCGCGAACGGCTTTTATTATGTCACATATTCATTACTTGTATATTACATAAGTACTTCTTTGCAGAATTACACCTATTTTTCTTCGTATTTTGTACCATGGAAAGCCGAAAAGGGGCCGTTCAATTTTACTTGCCTACAGCCGTCTTAATATATCTAGATTCAAAAGTTGTCCCCTAAATCGAACCAGGATTAACTTTTAAAGGATATATCTCTTCGAACATCTTTTGTAAATTTCCCACATTGTTTTGTAAGAAATGATTCGTTGTTCTGTAACGGAAATTTGCCTTTTCTTTCATAGTCATGATTGGGGTGTAGGATGGTACGTGCCATACCATGACGTCTTTTGCCTAAAATTAAAGTAATAAAAAGAAGACAAAGATTTTTCAAATAACTCAAACTTGTTCAATTTAAATATAAGTGAAAGAGAATATTTGTTTTGAAACCTATGATCTGTGTAACACAATTGTATTTAATATCAGGTAATGCTGCTAAACATGGAAACATGAAAATAAATATATAAAAAGGAATATTGTGGGATAGACCAATGGGCAATGAGACAATGAGTGAAAACTTACAAATATTTGCTCATTATTCGAATGTACCTTGCATTTTTACGTCGTTGAGCTAAATGGTTCGTTGCATATTAAGAAAACATATTGCTCGCTGAAAAAATTCCCTGCTTCGGCCGAGCCGGGTGTGAAATTGGCCGTATTGAGGTCTTTAATTCTTCAATTCATCTTTGGTTTTCGGTTTCAAAGTATGCTACGCAAAAAGTATACTAACTATGAGCATATGCTTATTGGGAATGCATATCTATTAGGCAGAAAACGTAGCTACAGAACAGAATATGAACCAGTTGCCAAGTGGGGTGCGGTTATTTCTGTATTTATTAATTGATATAACATGAAATTTACATATTTATCTGAGGGGAGAGGAAAGCCGATAAGTTGGCCTAAATATATGGCGAACCACGGCTTCTTTTCATCATACACTGTGCTCCACAACTGCGAGCCATTCGTTTACTTAGTAAAATACTTATTTTAACTATAAATTACTCTGGGATATCTTGCCATTGATAACAAAGTCAGAAATTAGAACAAAATCAGGGAATGAAATGTGTTTATTGTGTAATGGAGAACCTGACTTTGTTTTACATATTTTCATTTCTTGTAAATTTACAAAAAAAACAATGATTTTGTTTGTTTAGTTATATTAAAATTAATTAGAATATATTTTGTTATCAATTATGATTCTTGTATATTATTTAATTTTAACGATCCTTTATATAGTCATATAGGTAATGTTGATTTGCATGCAATTATACTTACTCAAAAATGTATTTATTTACAGTATTTATTTTGTTCAATTACAGTATTAATCCATACCATAATTAGGTTATTTTAATAAATACATTGATATAACACAATAAAAATGAAAAAAATTACCAAAAATAAAATACATATCATAAACAAACAATTTTCTTTTGAAAAATAATGCTTCACATAAATTTTTCAATTCCCTTCAGCTGTATTGACGAATATATTTTTTACGTGACACAATTTGTTTCAAGAAACTAAATTATAGTATACCTAACAAGTATATAATTCACAATCACTCGTTTAATGACGTTATGATTGATTATAAATAAACAAATGGCAACAGAACGTAAAAAGTTGAAGCTGAGTGCAAATGGTTAAATGACGCAGAAAATATTCAAATGATCAGTCTTCACGCACTGCTTAAAATTAAACTAAAATCTATGTGAAAATATGTTTTCCATTGGCCATTCTTTCGGTTTTTAACTTTCTAAAAATATGTGCGGCCCGCCAATGATTTGCAACCTTAAATTTCGGCCCGCGAACGACAAAAGTTTGCCGACCCCTGATCTATAGGTTCTAATAGATAGTGCGATATGTTGCCACTTTTTGACACTACTTTATTAATATGTTTGTCAAATTTGTGGGGCACCGTAAATAATAGTCAATGTGTTCACAGGCTCCATAACGCTAAAAGTTGGACAACCCATGCTCCAAATCAGTGGGGCGTGAAGCTAATTAAAACTTATTGCTTCCACTGCATGAGTTACGTAAATAGCAATGGCATGAAAATTGCCTGCTATTGATCGAATGTAAAATTGTAAGGCATGTGTAGCTGCTGAATTTTCATGTTTCCACTGACTTGGACAGAAGGCAACATTTCCCTGATTGCTAAATTGTTTGTTAATTTTTTTTCACTGTGATGCACAAATATTTAATATGTCTGCTGCTAACTATTTCTTCTGTAATGCTAAATATTTTCTATGAATGCTATTAACTATGTGAGCTATTTTTTTTCTTGCAATGCAAAATATTTCCTGTGTCTGCTATTTACTATGTGAATTAATTTTCTGTAATATCAAATATTTCCAAAACTGCTTTTACTATGTGAGCTATTTTTTCGGTACTCTCGTAGTATGTGTACCAGGTTAGGATTCAAATTTTCCTCATTTTTGTTCTATTAAAAAATCGGAATTTGTCTGGGTCACCGAGGTGAATATCCCTCTACCCATTGAATTCAGTCCCTTCACACAACTTGATATAAAATAGACGAAAAAAATTAGTTATTATAGAAAGTATAACCTGTTCAGTTTTCAACCTTCTAAAAATATGTGCGACCCGCCAATGACTTACAACCCTTAATATCGCCCCCCCCCCCCTTCTCGAATTCATATTCTGTGATGTAGCTACGTTTTCTGTCTAGAAAATACGCATTCGCACCCGGTCCAGCTGAAGCAAGGGATTTTTGCAGCGAGCGATATGCTTTCTCCATATCCAACGAACCATTTAGCTGGACGACGTAAAAATGAAGAGCACAATGGATTAATGAGCAAGTATTGGGAAGTTTCCACTCATTGTATATACGGTATTCTCATTGGATAGATTGAGATTCATGAGACATTTATTTTCCCTCTTTGTAGATGTGACAAAAATAGTTTGAACGCAATTATTACTGCTAAATAATCTATCAAATGGGCAAATTCAAACAAAGCGGCAGTGGGGACGGGGAAGCCCTGGATTAGGAGATATATCAAACTTAAGGATCATAACATTATGGTCCTATAAACAGCCAAGACCGGGAACATGATATTATTATATTGCCGCGACTGAAACGGCAAGGAGGGATTTGAGATGCATTCAGTGACTTTGATTTTAAAAAACACACAGACAAATTTATTTGCTTATATATGGATACATATGCTGTTTAATCATCACCTATTAAAAATATTTAAAGCAAACGTTCTCACGTTCAAAGAGTAGTAGGCAGAATTTTTGTAGTCATCTTCCGTACATTTGCTAACGTCACCGAAAACTTTCTTGTTTTCCCAGTTTGTTTTCTCTGTCGACATGAAAATAGGCAGGAAATATTAGTTCTCATATTTTTAGTAAAATATTCGACTTTGAAGGATGATATCGCATTTTTATTTGGAAAGAGTTGCGTTGCAAATTTAATCAAACTTTTTGTACGTCACAAATTTACATATTCAAATGTATCAAACAGTTGACGGTGTTCAACTATCAGTTGACAGTATGTAGATGTAAATTACCAAAAAAAACTTAAAGAGATTCCACTGTATAAAAACAGTTTCAACGACCAAAGAATGGATTCATTAGACGTTACTTTCTATAATAGTAAATGTTAATGGAACTAAATGAAAATGCGTACCTGCAGAGGCAATATACTTTTCTGGTACGTAATTTGCCCACCTATCATTTTCATCACACTTTCGGGTAATATTAGATTCGTGCACGCTAGCTACAAGTGTCCACCCACCGCCGTCTGTTTTCATATCGCAGAATGTCTATAGCAGTAATAAATCATTAAGAATATATAACATTCGCCAGGGTAAATATATTTTTTGCAAGAATCGGCAGCCGTCGGTTTGTTGGATAACACTAAGTAATTGGGTATTATAATTAATATTTTTTAGTATTCTGATCTCATTCATATATGGTCATTTAAAATATGTTTAAATTTGTATGATTGTATACATAGCAAATGTTTTTATTTTTTTGAACCGTTATACTGATATACTTACCATATCTGTCTATGAATATGCTTGTGCAAAAATTGGTTCATTTGCTTACCCCCAGTTAATGAATACTATGCTAAGTCGTTAGGTCAAGTTACGAGCTGTTCACGGTTTTGCTTTGTGTTTTCAATTTAACAAAGGCCTGTTTGTAAACATTGCGAAAGCATGTCAAGTAATTTTTAGTAAAACCTATTAATAGCTCCGAGTTGGATTGAAAGTTTTGTCCACTCAAAAATTATGATGATTAGAATAATGAGTTTATGTGATAAGTTTAGTTTTTTTAGTGCTTAGTGCTGAGCTTTTTTGAATATTCTTGAATAAAACATGAATAATTCTACCCCTCACAAAAATATATCATCATCTTAGATGATATACATATTATACATATTTTTTCCTTCTTATTTAAAAAAAGCTTACCGCAAATTGCATAAAATCATTTTCCGGCTTTATGGAATAAATTCCATCAATCTCGATTCCAAGTTGCTTTAGTTCGTAGCATGATTTGGCCGAGTGAGAAACTTGTTGTTGGTTGTTCATGTTTAACACATTTGTTTCGTTGATCTGATAAAAAATTAAATGCTAAATTAAAATGTTGTTCAAAGTTATATTGATTATCTGTATTGACATATAAAAGATATTGTTATTCTCTTTGTGACCAGTCCACTAGATATAAATCTGTGTTAGTGCTGGCGGCAGTTAATAAATATATAAAGTTGGAAGACGTAAACTTCTTTGTAAAACTTTTAATAGTTATAAAAAACTTGATTAATATATTTTAACGCATTGTCTGTTGATTGCATCATATTCATGATCCTATTACGCCACCGAAACCTAATTTTTGTATACAGTATAAGCAAACCTACGTTATGACATTCCGTTATTGCAACACAACATGATGACTGGTTAATTTGTCAATGGTTTAATAGTGCTACCACTCACAACATAAACTTTGCATCATGTAAAAATACTCAAGTTCAAATTACAAATAAGAATACACTATGGTATGATTGCACGGAAAATTATGTACATATCATTTCAAATTGAACCAAACCGTATTTTCCTTTGCTGGGAAAAGATAGTAAATTTATTTGTGCGCAGCATATAGTGCTATAAAAATTTTTACTTTTAATTTTGAATTCTATTTTAAGTACAAAAAATTAAAAAGCTAGTGTCTAAAACCATCCTATATCAATGAACCTGGGCCACATGAGCAAATGTTTAGTTCATATTTTAATATTTTATTCGAGAGACTCATAATTTTCATTTTGACCTTCCAATCTGCCCTTTGATATAATTTGGTAACTAAATCAATCTTTTGTTTCAAAATTTAATTTCTCTCATAGTGCACATAGCTTTTTGTGACCTTCCATCTCTAGCTTTTGGGTTGGTTCTTATAAAGTACGTTGTTCAACATTTATTCAGGGTCAATTATATTGCTTTTATTGGCTGAAATATACCCGGATGTTATAAAGTGTTATCAATTTTGTATTCGATAGTATGACAACATTAGATATTCATTCTTAAATTTTTAGAATCACTTTTGACCTTCACCCTTGCATTGCAAACGAGAGCCCTCAAAATTTGAGCGACGTCCGGAAAACAAACACATTTTGCTTCATTTATGAAAATGTATTAGTTTAACACACATAAATAAAATATAAAAAAATAAAAATATAAAAACATAAAAAAAAAAATATAATAATGCTATATATACACAAAAAATTATAAAATATTTTTAATATACAAAAATTACTGGTGGCTTTTTAAAGGTCATTAGGCCTGAATGTGTAAATGATGTATGTCATATTGAAGCAAAAGGGCCTTTGCTCATTTTTCCCTGGTATAATCATATCACACAAAGTGAGAGAAATTGAGGAGAAGATGTTAAAGAGAATTTTTTTCATTCTTCCATACATAACAGTTTTTGCCGTATAAGTGACTGATGTGGACAATAAATGTGTTGCTTTGTTTCGATATTATTTTTGCACCAGAAAAATGTTTCTAAAAATTGAAACTGATTTGAAATTTGTTTTTATTGTTGTCAACTGAGTCAATTTTAATTTAATATTTTATTGTATTTACTTCTATTAAAGAGTCAAACTATACTTGTAATTACGCTGCTTGTTGTATTTTAATTCTTACCTTAGGCTTTGGAATATTCAGTTGGACTAGCACAGTGGTTAACAAAGTAGTAGTAATCAATCCGAACGCGATCAAAAGTATCAATACTGCCTTCATATTTGGAAGGTTTCTGACTGTAGGATTCTCTTGGCTTTTTATTTTGGGATTTGCATGCGATTTTATGGAAGGAAGTGGTCTTGAAGACATTGTAACTGAAACAGAGTTATAATATAATATAACAACGGAAATAATAAATTTGGTTATGTGTGCAAATAAATTGTATCGAAAAAAACTGATTTGCCAATGATATTCACTTTAAATATGTTCAAATATTTTAATGCGAAACCATGCAAATTCAATAAACTATTATTATGTTAAAAAGTAAGCATATACCAATCCAATTAACACATTGGCGCCGACTTACCTTCATTATTTTCATATCTCATCGCATGCTCGTATGGATTTTCATAGTTTTCGTCGTCGCTGTGTCGTTGCATTTTTGTAATTTATAGTATATTCAATAATTAGACATATTCTTCACTTGAGTAACTAAAAATAAAACTGAACAGTCTCGTTTTAATATTACTTTCTAATGACTTTTTGAACAAATATTTCAGTATAGTCCAGCAACTTTCTCCAATACTGCGTGAAGCAGTAGAGCTGGAATTTTCAAAATGTAGGATTAGCGATGCCGAAAAAATTAAAACTGTTGCTTCAGCCACTAAGTCAGCACTTCAGAAATATAGCACAAATTTTTAGTTAGAATTTAATCCAACCCCATATTGAATTAAATGCCGATGTAGGACTTTAAATAGTGATTCTAAATCCCGATACGATCTAGTAAATGGCAAACTAAAATTAAATTCCTGGTTATCATTTTAAGCCAGCCATAAGCCCATCATGTTTTGGTATACGTTCTAGTACAAATTTTATCGTTCCTCCAAAAGGCTGAACTTCTCTTATAGACAGCACTACAAAACTAAAGATCATAATCTAATGCCTAGTCTTCAAAAAGCAACAATAGAACCTGTTATTATAAACCTATGATGAAGCGTTCAAATTACTTTGCCCACGCCGGGCTGACTTCCTTGAAAGCCATGTAGGACGTACTTAATCAGATACCACAACAATGTATACGTTTTGTGACATGACGTCCTATTATTTCATTTTAATATAAAAGTATCCATATTCTAATGTTGCTGGAATATATTTGGATTAATACCTTATTAATTTATCTGAGACTAGAAGAGTTCAAGTTCACTGAAGTGGCATACCCGTATCAATGACATAGGAAGTTGATTAAATCATTCCTAGACAATATATGCCCGCTGCAAACATTTGGGACTGCTCATACTTGAGTTATACATTTTTGAATTGGCATAAATACTTCGCATTAAATTATTTAATATACGAAGTAAAGCTGTTGTTTTTATTTATTTATGAAACTATCGATTAACGCTCAAATATATAAACACAAAGTACAAATATCCAATAAAAGTGATCCAATATGTCTCATAAATTCATTTCAATTCATTAGATTAAAACAGAATATTTTTTGCAAAATATAAAGTTTTATGTCCAGGATTCAGAGGAAATTTCAAACTGTAACAATAGCTATTTTTGCTCCACCCCTTTACTGAAAATTTCAGCGACTGCTAAAATTAGATATAAAATGCAAATATAATGTATATTTTATTAAAAAATCATGTTACCTTATTCAATGAAAAAAGTAAGTGACAAAACAAAAGAAAACGATTTTAAACGAAAAAATAAAAATACACTGCACACTGCAACCTAGTCCTAGGCAAATGTAAATCAATCCATTATTAGGCAGTCTTTTTCAATCAGGAAGCGAACCCGAAGTATAAATTCTTTGTATGTGATTACTGAGTTTGTTTTTACATCTATAAGTGACACCAATTTCTTCATTTATTTTGTGTAATGTACAGGTAATATTTATCAATATATGTATATACCAGACCAATGCCTATGAAAAACAATGAGCGTTATAAATTATATGCAAGGCACAAATTTTGAAGGAAAAAATCACTAGAGAGGGCTTTTATAATGAAATAATTCAACGAAATTTTCTACACAAGCAACTTTAAAAACAAGAGGTTAAGTTAATCAACTTCTAATAAAACAAATTTACTATTCATTTTAAAAGTATAATGTCGTCATGAATTCATTTTTTCATCGAAAAATTCGATGAACAAAAACTTATCTTTTCACGATATGCCTAATTAATCTTTAAATTACTCAGCTGGCTGTTTAAACTATTTTGATAATTTATAATTTATATAATCAATGCCAATACAGGAAATTAAAACTTATTTTTTAATAATTGACAGATGCTAAAATATTTTACACAATATTGCGAAAAGCAAAAATACTGCAAAATAACAAACGAAATATACCAAACAAAATAAGAGATGCCATAATATTAAAGTCGATTTCCATTATAAAAATATTGAATTATCCAATTCAGCGATAGAATATCAGAATGCGAGTGAGCATTTCCACTGGCATATTCACGATTGATGACATCATCATTTTTACCGGCCCAACCTGTTTAAAATAAAAAAAATTTCCAATATTTCAACAACAACGAAAATCATAACGTTTTTGGGTACAATTTTTTTTTAATATTTCCCAATTGAAAATTCATATTTGTATGATAGTTTTTAATCAAAAATTAGTCTGACCTAGCCGATTTCTTTTAATTTGTTTTTTCATATTCGTCATTTGTCAAAGTTTCGAATTTGATTTATTGTTTCGAGTGTATACCAATCGTACTAATTCAATCTACTCTAAGTAATACCACACTATGAGTCTTGAATTCTTATTTATGATTTAAAAATCTAAACATCTGCGAAATCTCCACAAGTACCATCATTCCCAATATCATCAGAGATTCCACCGAGACAAACAAACTCTGGATGGAACGATTTACTCTGAAAAAAATATGCTTACATTTAATTTTGAAGTTTTTAGGATTTCGTTCAGATTTAAAATCTAATAACAAAATTGCAACATAATCCAAAATTTACCTTAACTTCGGTATTTTTAATTAATTTGTGTCAATTCTATATAAAACGTAATGCAAAACTTTTAATAAGACGGATACCTAAAACTAATTCAAAGTTAAACTTACTTGATGCCTGGGCACATTGCATTTGGATATCCAGTCAGATTGTACGCTCGAAACTCCAAATAACCTGTTTCAACTGTCGATCTGAATGAAGTTTGGTGGAATAGTTTCTAGAATCGCATTGTTGCTTCCTTTGTAGAATGTGACTGGAGCAACAAGGGCTTCACTTTCTGAAATAACAACAACACTATTTTATCATAAAAATTTTGAAATTAATTTTTTAAGAGCTTATAATGTTGTAACCTAATGTTATAGCCTGTAAGGGAAGTTTACATCAGTATTGGAGAGCATCATTTCATTGAATCTAGTTCGAGTGTGGTCAACATTTACAAAAAAAAAACTTTTGAGCTGATTGCATTTATGTAAATGAGAATACTTGAACTAACTAAAACTAATTGCTAGTGATACTTAACCACAGTTATTGACTCGAATTCAGTGCGCCCCTTTTTTGTTAGTTTTATTCATCAGTAATCTAAACATGAAAACATAGGCACTCCCGTAGTATGTGTACCAGGTTAGGGTCGGTCATAATTTTATTCAGACCGATTTTTCTTATTCTAGTTCTATTACGAGGTTCGAGACTGTTTGTGTTAGCCTAGTCAATATCCCTATTTCCATCGGTTTCAGTGCCTTCACACAACTTGATGTAAAATAGACGAATAAAATTATTTACCTCCATATTGGTACACATATTTCTATACGACATACATTGCATTTATCATATCCTATTTCACTATGACGATTTCAAATAAAAAAAGCAACAGTTATAAAACATTGTGTGTGTGTGATTGTTATTGCATTTTTTTATTGTTAAACAATGCCAGTGCGTAGTGACAAATTTATTTCTGTTCTGCTTTCAATGAAGTGTATAGTTAAGCTATGCATGTAGTTATTGACACGTAATAACAAATAATGTTAACTTGGGAAAGATTTTGGATAACATCATCCGTGATACCATCGGCTTGCGATGCAGTAGTTTTTCTTCATTTAGTTCTGAAAAAATAAAGTTGGTTAAACAATAACCACCACAAATAATACACTATCACTAAGTTCATATTCATTTATTATAAATTAGTTTGGTCCTATGATTATTCAAGGAAACTACCAAAAAGTGCGGGAATACGCAAAAAAACAAGGCAGCGGAAAAGGCCAATACAAAACCCGGAAGTGCCCATCTAGCGCCCATCAGAGCCCAAACCTTCGTAGAATGCAATTTAGAAATTGTTCAAAAATATACAAAAGCGTAAAAAATTTCATTTTTTTATTATGATAATTTTCAGTTTTTAAGACAAAGGTGAAAGTAACACAATAAATGTGTTTTATTTATGCACAGACCTGGCAAGAAGAATATAACCCATCACAATGTTGGAAGGACTTCCCTCAGCTCGAAATTGGTTATGTCGATATGCGGAACTTGATGATACAAAATGACAAGTTCTTCTAAAAAATCTCGAGGGCCTAGACATCCAGTCCTAGGAATAGATGAATCGAAATAAATATGTAGTTCTTATCGCGGAACACAAGAACATACATACACGTAACAAAGAAACAAATTAAAAAAGATCTACTGGTCTTATCACTTCACAATCACATTTGATTATTGATTGCATCATTTTTGTCTATTAGGCTATTTCTAAACATGCATGCACATCTTGCACATCTTGAATAAGATGATGCGTTTGTCGTTCAACATAAGATTAGACTCAAGTACATGAAGTGCATGTATAAATATTATAAAGTTACTAACTTATTATAATTGGACACTTACTTTTTTTGTATTGCTTTTAACAATAGAATTCGCAAACGGAGGCATAAGAAGGTTGACTAAACTGTATAGCCTTATATTACAAATTATAATTCCCGTTTGTTCTGTTTACCGAGCGTGTCAGTTGTATCATTCCTAAACAATATTTGGCATTTTCAAACAATTTGGGGCTGCCTATACTTGACTTGACGAATATCAAATAAAGTGATCCAATATGTCTTGATATGATATGATATTCGCATTCATTATATCATTCAGTAAAACGATCCACATGCACATTTCGAATCTAATAAACCTGTTATAAATACGCTATGAAGGAAAATTATATTATCTAAACTTAATATCAGGTAACCATTTTCGACGTTGCCAAAAGAAACAGGAAGTAATATAAGTAAAACGAGGCCGCGTAGGCGCAATGTTGTCAGACCATTAATATTGAAATCATTTGAGACGACGACAAATGTATTGTGTAAGACTATGTATTTACAGTATTTAGTTTAAATTCATGATTACTAATAAAATATTTTATGCAGACTTTTAATTTGATATGCGAATTTAAATCACATCGGCAGAACTGATGATGTTCCGACTAGGACTCAAATACCCTATTTTCCCGCAATTTGATGTACAGATACTCTTACTGAACTTTGATTCAACTTAAATCAATACTCAGACACGTTAATGTTATCATAATACATTTATTGAATAATTATAATAGCTATTTAAAGATTTAAAATACACAGATAGTCACAATTTCGTACTCAAAAATGTAAGAAAAGCATTTATTATCAGCGATAGGATGATATAATTGTAAAAAATATATCATTTTGCGATCGGTATTAATTGTTTTTCCCCCGAGTCTTGACCCAACAAAAAAAGTCTTTCTACAGTTTGGCATTGCAAAGTTTTTATATTCATTTCCAATACTCTATTTGCGCTATGTCGGATGATTGAAAACTTATTTTTTTGTTAAATACTTGAAAACTTACTCCGATAGATATTTTGCTACTGCCAAAATTAGATATGAAACACAAATATATTATATTTAAAATCTATGTTACTTTATTAAAAAATTTTGAAATTGATGAAATGAGAAACGATTTCAAACGACAAAATAAAATTACACTGCTCCCTACAAGTTCACTAGCAAAGTGTAAATCAATTTGTTCAAATTAGGCATACGTTTTAATTGTGTATCGATCGATCGAGTATTATGACTTCGTATGTGATTACTGAGGTTTGTCGTACACATTTTCTAACACATTTGTCTTTTATGTCGGAATTCTTATAATTATGAGTGGAACCAATTTATTTAATTTTATGACGTGTACAGTTATGAAAATATTTATCCATAGATTTGTGAACCAGACCAATGCCCGTAAAAACAATGGGCGTTATAAATTTAATGCACGACAAAAATGTTTCAAGTCCAGTATCACTTTAGAGAGATTTTATATTGAAATAATCAAACAAAATTTCCTACACAAGTAACTTTAAAAACAGGAAGTTAGGTTAATCAACTTCTGATAAAACAAATTTACTATTCATGTTAGAAGTTTTACAATTTCATAAATTCATTTTTTCATCATAAAATCATATTTAAAAAAATTTTTTTTTACATAATGCCTATTTAATTTTCAAATTACTCAACTAGCTGTCTGTACTATTTTTATGATTTATAATTCATATAATCAGTGCCAATGAAAGATATTGTATAACCTCAAATAAGTGACAGATGCAAAAATATGTTACACAATATTGAGAATAGCAATAAAATGAAAGGAAGAATCAAAAATACCAAACATGATAACGAATGCTATAATATTCAATACGATTTCTATCATGAAAACATAAAATTAGTTAATTCAGCGATAGAATATCAGAATAGTAGAAGAGATGTCTTTTTGCGAGTGAGAATTTCCACTGGCATAATCACGATTGATGACATCATCATTCTTACCGGCCCAACCTATTTAATAGGAGAATATCTTTTATTTTATGATTTTGTTTAATATTTGCGTGCTGAAAAACCATATTTATATGATAGCCTTTTTTTTTTATCAAAAATTGAGTCTAAACTAGCCGATTTAGATGTGTCATTTTCCAAGTTTCGAATTTTTTGTAATGTTTCGAATGTGTACAAATCATACTAATCGTACCACACTAAGTAATACCACTCTATGAGTTTTGAATATTTATTTATCATTCAAAAATTTAAATACCTGCGAAATCTCCACAAGTACCATCATCTCCAATATCTCCAGAGATTCCACCAAGACAAACAAACTCTGGATGGAACGATTTCACTCTAAACAAAATTTATTAAAAGTCAATTTTTCAAACATCGCTAAATAATCAAAACTTATTCGGTATTTATAATCGCCATAATCACCAAATGGAATTGAATTTTGTTATTTCTAATCAATTTTTGTGACATGCTTATTTTTTTTGTTATATGTTAGTGATTAGTGAAGCTCTCTATTAAATATATAACGCCATCGCGTATAAAACACAAATTTGAGTTATATAAGAACCATGAAACTGATTTAATATTGAGTAGACTTACTTGATGCCTGGACACATTGCATTTGGATATCCAGTCAGATTGTACGCACGAAACTCCAAATAACCTGCTTCAACTGTCGACCTGAAGTTTGTTGGGATAGTTTTTAGAATCGCATTGGTGCTTCCTTTGTCAAATGTTACTGGAGCAACAAGTCCTTCGCTCTCTGAAAGAACAACAGCACTATTTCATCAAAATAATCAGAACATTTAAAGCATAGGACATTGCTTAGCATATGCCATCATATGACTCGAGTTAGAGTCAAATCATCAACAAAATTTCGAAGTACTCGAGTCATTGGAAATAAAAATACTGTGATTCGTACTCAACTCCCAGTGAAACTTAACTTAATAAATTACTCGACTTCGAAATCATGCGGCGTTTGAAGAATTCTACGTAATCCTGGGCCACATATTAGACAATAAAGGGCCTTCATTGTACATTCATATCATTTCAGAATTTAATGGGTTGAAATAAAAACAACTATAAAAGAAATTTTGTGTAATTTAAAGACTATTTTTTTTGGTGTTATACAATGTCAACGTCAACTGACACATTCATCTCTGTTCATATATTTACTGCTACTGACTAGTTTAACTCACCAATACCTCTTTTTATTAAGACGAAGAGAACAATGATGTGATTTGCGTCAAAGGTTCTTGGATTATCGTTATAATCATCGAAATCGTTATTCATAGTTTCAGAAGTTAGACAACTGCAGCCAATGCTTTGCATGCACGGCATCTGACAGCTAGCGATATTTGACGTTTCGAAAGTTATGTATTAGATTCAAGTAAAGCGTGTCATATTAATGCAGCTCTTTTGAAATGAGAGAACCTGTTGTTAGTGAGTTCAAAACATAAGAGAACTCGTTACCAGAATTTTGAATCCCACCACTGGTAATAAACGAAAGGTGAATAAATGTTACCTTGGAAAAGGTTATGGATGGATGCAACTGCTTGAATAATATTATCCGCAACACCATCGGCTTGTGATACAGTTATTTTTTCCCCTTTATTTCTGAGAATTAAATTTCGTAGCTCAAATCAACAACTTAAATAAAAAATTGTCTCTATGTTCATAGTAAATTATTAGAACTTCGTAAACTAGTGATGATTAATTTAGGAAAAAACATTTGGCATTTGTTTTTAGAGAGTATAGACAATTACCAATTTCTATACATTTCCGATATCATCATATCTTGAGTTTCTAGGTTAATTAAGTGAAATTGGTCAATAGCAAGCAATACGAAGAAAAACATTTTAATTTGACAAACCTGGTAAGAAGCATATATCCCATTACAATGTTGGAAGGACTTCCGTCAACTTGAAATTGGTTTCGTCGAACGGTAGACGATGAATAGTGATTGTTTCTCTCAAAAGATGTTGGGGGCCTGGACATCCAATCCTATCAAAATAAACATCAATATAATCATCAAAATAAACCAATTGTTGTTATACATATCAACTTTCTTCTCATTGTGGAAACGGTTATCTGCTACAGTTCCATGTCCTATATTGTTCAAATTTAAAATATGCTGTAGTAGTTACTGTTACCTGCATTTTGTTTAATGACTGTTCAATCCTTTGAAAAGAATCGTTAATTTTTTTTTAATATCTTTACGGTGATCAGCTTTAACTCAAGCACCGAGAAATATGAATTAAATAGTTACCATTCCATCCGTACATGCTCTACACAAATTATAACTTATGAATCCTGCAAAATACAAATCTGTCTCGGTAACTGTACGCTAACTTGCTGCCTGTGCCTCAGCTGAGCAGTTGCCGTGGTTACCTCGCTTGATGGTGCTTGGAGTCTATCTTTATATTAACGAGAGTCTCTGGATTTCCCAAAAATCCTCTGAATACTTGGAACGTTTCCAACATACAAATTTATTAGTGTGAATATTTTGCTTCTATATTATATTCATTTTAAGCTTTCTATATTATCTTGTTTTTCTTTATGTTGTGTTAGACCCCTTCTAGGGTGTCGCTGCTCGATAACCAGTACAGGTTTTTCGGCGTTTCCCTCCACCCTGAAATGCTATTCTTCTTTTATTGTATTCCTTATATGTATCTTACGTATTTTCAATATTGGTGGAAAAATAAATTACTGATTACTGATTACATGAATTCATATCCTCGGGTACCAATTTATACTGACAGCAAACTTGGACTCTAATAATTTGAAAAATAAAAAAAAAAGAACTAGGAATATGTATCCTTTTCGTAGCCCTCTATTTTGTGAATTAATTCATTTTCTGATTTTTGGTCCTAAACTCAGAATTAGCGATGATCTAAAGTATTTTAGGTACCATATAGTCTCTATATGAAAATATCAATTAAACTCTTACTTTTGTGTTGCTTATTACAAAATGGAATTCGCAAACAGTTGCATACGAACGTTGTCTGAACTGCACAGCTTTGTATTGCAATTTGAAGTTCCCGTTTGTTCTGGTATTTTGTATCAGTTCGGTAAAATCACCTTTGTAGCGTTGGGTTTCAACCTGAGTAAACATAAACTTAAATGGATTAAGATTACTGCAAATAGAGAGTTTTCATAAACTATCAACTAAAGATTGCGGTCATTTAATACTGTTACAATGTACAAAACTTTAATCCGATTTGCTTTGACGAGTTCCTGTATTTTTTATCTGACATATCTGCTATAACAATAATATTTGAAAAAATTACTTGTTTTAAAGTAAATATTACCTAAAGTTCGGAATCAAACTTACTTTAATATAGAAGTATTGACTGAAAGAATTTTCGTTTGATATAGCAGTAACCAGTATAAAAGGCTGTGATGCTTTCATGCGAACTATTGTATGTTCCCAATACGTTCTGTAAACATTGGGGTTGGAAAGGTAGAAAATAAGTAAGTAAATAAGTCATTAAAGAAAAGTTTTTCGTTAATTAAATTTAAAATTTATTAACTCATCTATGTAGTCTACTAGCCTATCCTCATACTCACATATTGGTTCGGTTCATTCAGAATTATTAATTTGTTGTAGAACTTTTTAAAGAATGCACCGTGTTCGTTGACAAGAAACTCGACGGCCAGAAATCACAATCAGGCAGTAAAATAACTCTCATCATATAGCAAAATTGTGGATATAAATTGGCTTTGGTATAACTAATAACAATTTGGACATGAATGTTAGTGTTATTGAAAAGCTAAAAGCTATTGATCTACCTGTTGTAATATTGGCAAGTTTGTTATGAACAATAACAAAAAATACATGAATAACAACGCTTCCACAAAATAATTCATAGGGTGCAAAAATATAGTCATGTCGAAGTCAAATAATTGCATTTAAATCTAAAATACAAAATTTAAAATCAAGTGCATTGTACTCACTCGTCGCGATAAATTCTGTTGTAATACAGATGACTTTGTAATATTCTGGAATTACCAAAACTAACCTAAAAAAAAAATTTCTACATTATAAGCATAACTACTTATAAGCATTAACTACAGATATAGTGATACTCAAAAGTTTAGATTGGTTAATTGCAAAATCATGTTTTGATGTTATGTTAGCGATATTGTAATAAGAAAGATTATATGTGAATTTTATTTAAAGATTGTATATAGAAAATTGGCACAATGTAATTGTGGAATGAATTATCGAAGCTTGTTGTATTTTTCTGGTATGAATTTGCTCGAAAAATGTCATGTATTTTCATGTGACTGAGTTGTACATATTTTGTCTCTCGACTCAGCATTCTCTTTTATTAAATAAACTCGATACAAACTAATTTTTACCCTATTGCCATATGAGCTGTACATTTTGCTGTCTTGTATTATGTTGACGTTGTTTCCAGTATAGTTATACGTGTACCAGTTTGGTACGTTAGCTCTTATTTCTGCAGAATTCTTCTCTAGAGCCTTTAGCACCAATTTGCTTCGTTGAGACCACATTGTTTTGAATTTTCCTGTAAAATCAATCATAAAAAAGTTTGATTTTTTTGCATGAATCAAATGTTGTCGATTTTAAAATTTTATCTTTCATTGAGAAATTACTCTCGATGGAGCTAAGGTAGAAGAAAAAGTGCAGTGCGATGAGTCAACTTTATTATAAACATTCATGCACATGCATGCCAGTAGCGATGCATTTGATGCTTGGGTGGGGTTGATTCCTGCTACCATAGTTAGTGTGAATAGACTGAATGTGGATGAATGTGATCGTGGATGAATGTGTTTTTGCGTACAATTAACGTCTAGTTACTATTAATTCGGAACTTTTAAATGCTACATACGAAGCTTATATATATACGCATACGCACATATTTATACTAATATAACACTTCTATATAAACGTGCATACACAGACATTCAAAAATATATTTAATTTTTTCTCTACCCTACGCAATAAGACGTTGCCATAAGAAGTCGGTAAATTTTGATAGCTATGGGTCATCGTAATAGAAATAATCGTTTTTCGATCTCGTACCCGGATAAACTTTCAATGGATATCTCTCCTCAAACATCTTTTGTAGATTTCCACCATTGTTTTGCAAGAAATGATTTGTTGTTCTGTAACGAAAACTCGCTTTTTCCTTCATAGACATGGTTGGTGTGTTGGATGGTACGTGCCAGACCATGACGTCGTTGGCCTAAAATTGAAGTGATAAAAAAGACTATGCAAACTATTTATGATTACTGCTATTATTTCAAACATCAGCTAACCTCAATCAAATAAACTTTAGTTCTAGTCCTTCCAATTATTCCCTCGCACCCAGCATATGGGCCACTGAGAGGTTCATTGAGAACCCCGACCAAATGCATTAACTTGATTCCATACGCAATGTCTACATAAATTTTAAATAAATTGACTTTGCTTTTATTTCTTTGAATCCTTTGATTTTTTTTTGTATTTTTCAAAACACGTATGTACATCTTTAATTATTTCATACGGTTAAATGTTAAATAAGCGAAATGAATTATTCTTACGTTCAAAGAGTAGTAAGCGGAATTTTTGTAATCACCTTCCGTGCATTTGCTAACGTCACCGAAAACTTTCTTGTTTTCCCAGTTTGTTTTCTCTGTCAACATACAATAGTACATAAAAAATAATATTTGAAATTTTCCACTTAATCAACTTTGAGTAATGCTGACGAGTTTAATTTGGAATGTGTTGAGTTGCATATTTGCTCGAAGATTTCGAATGTCATGCTTTCGTTGATTTAGGGTACAAAATGTCACATCTGTAACAGTAAAGATGGGAAATACATGACAAGAAACTGTTTTCTTTGTTTCAACATAATAGTTGCAATGATCAAAAATTTAGATTTAACATGAAAAACTTTGTAACAATATCAAACTTTAAATAAAACAGAATTTTACAATGATATAGCTTTTTATTAGAAGAAAATACAATAAGTACCTGTCGAGGCAATATACTTTTCTGGTACGTAATTTGTCCATCTATCTTTTGCATCACACTTTTGGGTAATATCCGATTCGTGTACGCTAGCTACAAGTGTCCAGCCACCCCCGTCTGTTTGCATATCGCAGAATGTCTAAAAGTAACGAACATTAAATAATGAAGTAATCAATTAACAGTAATAAATTATTGAAAAGAAGGAAATCATTAACATTTGTCAGGGTAAATATATTTTTTGCAAGAATCTGCAGCTATCGTTCTGTTGGGGAACCCTAAGTCATATAGATACTATACTAACTAAGTCTGTTTGAGTCACGTTATCTCATTCACAGTCATTTATATGTTAACTGATTTCAATTTGTTGGCTTGTAAACATTGCAAAAGTTATTATTTGTTCAACCTGAAATCGGATTTCAAAAGCTGAGTCAGTCTTGGATAAGAGTTGAATGGAATTTATTACTCACTGCACGGTCATGTGGCAGGAAAAATATATCACTAGATCTCAGTTGACCTAAACATTATTAATTAACCGTTTTGAGTTTATGTCAAATATCTTACCGCAAATTGCATAAAATCATTCTCCGGTTTTATGGAATAAATGCCATCAATCTTGATTCCAAGTTGTTTTAGGTCGTAACATGATTTGGATGAATGAGAAACTTGCTGATGGTTATTGATATTCAATGGATTTGAAGAGTTGCTCTGATTAGAAATTAAATGCCGAAGTTATTAATATTAACATAAACGTTCGCACCTTCAAACAATATATATTACTTTGTCGCTTGAACATATACATAGTTGAGTTTGCTGTTGAATGTTTGGCATAAAGTTTGATATCGCGAATGTTAAATTCACATATCGTAACTAATATTCAAGTTTTTAGCGTTTTGGATTAGCACATATATTATTCTTTACCTGAACTCGACTGCTATTTAAAAAAAATGTTTTGCGTCTTACTTCAGCATAAGCAAAATGTATATTGAATTTTGTCACAAATATGCCTGATTCGGAATTCACCATGTATTTTATTGTGTATTTAGCCAATGATGGCCAATATGATTAAGAATAGTCTCATTTTATAGTTATTGTTTTCCTTATATTACCTTAGTTAATGCTATATTCAG